AGCGCAGTTGAAAGGGACGACGTGGGTCGCAGGCATTGAAAAAAGTGTGGAGGTAATTCATAATAGCTAGGTATTGGCCTGTAGACTATTGCTAGTGATTTTCAAGCAATGGTGAGTCTTTCTCGCCAAGTTTTGAGGCGTTTTGTACGCGGATCACGTGAGATTTCACCCGCGTCATCCCTATATAGAGCGTCTACCGACGCTCTGATAAGATCATTATGCATGTTCCATCCAATGATGTCATCGCACTCAAGTATACAGCCTTATATGGCTCTGCTAGCCTGTTATTTGAGTTGACACAGAATACTATTCATGTGGCGTAGTGTTTATTTTGCTGCTTATTATTCACAACTGGAGACTGCACACCAGGCAATCGGCGATATTCAGGCCTTGGGGGTTCTCTTTCGTCAGACTATATTCACAAGGACAGACCACATGTGTCAGTTGAGCTTCATGCAAACAACCATAGCCAGTTAAAATATTATGTTAGCAACAAAGCCATGATTGTTAAAAATGTTGCGCCGTTCAGAGCTACCTTATAGACCCAGTCGGTGGAATGGTGAAAGTATAGATAGGAACTGAATTATTGTAATAAATAGACAAATAATATAATTATAGTAAGCACTTATTTAGAAATTTAGAAAATGTGTGGAATTTTCTTACAACAGAAACAAAGCATAAATTGTGCTGACAATAAAGAGAGTTAATTTCATAGACTGCTTTATCCCATCTGTTGAAAGTTTGGGAATAATAAAAATGTGATAAGTATTCTATAAAATGATACCTGCAGTAGCAGTAGCAGTAGGTGTTGCAGCAGCAGTAGCAGTAGGTGTTGCAGTAGCAGTAGCAATAGGTGTTGAGGAACTTAACACTAAAATGATGTAGAATAAGTATTTCAATGTTACATATGACAGCACAACTGTTTGTAGTTATGGTCTATATACCTGATATGGGAGTTGAAGTAAACTGTGACGGTGATGGTGTAGCTGTGGGGGAAATCTAATTTACCTATTGTATGTATGCATAGAGTTATTAATCACTTACCAGTGGTATCTGGCGAACGATCTTTAGAAAAATGATTATTAATATACACAAACTTTAAATTTTGTCTATATCTACTCACCAGTTAGATTTCGTATCTCACTGTACTCTTTGTCTGTTATATCACTGCGGTTTGTACTGCGGCATTGGTAACTATTCCCATCAGTTTCATTAGCTGACATTGATACTATCATATAACATGGAGATGTGCTTTCTGATATCTCACAACCTTGGGGTAAATGTACTGAATTATTGGCATGATTAACTGATCCTTTCGTATCAATGTCGATGACATCCATTACGCGGTTAGAAGGCCCATCACAGACAAAGATTAGTTTTTGCCCAGGTCTCACTTCGTTTTCACCAGGGACCTTGAATTGCACCAGATGGAAGTCTTCTCTGTCGCTACATACGCTTTTTGCGCATGTGTCCGACAGCAAATAAAGGACGACGATTGTTGCTTGCAGAGCTCTTAGTCCAATCATTCTTGTAGCCTTGCGCCACTTGGTCTCGGTGTATGAAAAAATCAGTGGGACCTTTTTGTTAAAGCCCCCCCCCCGGGAACACGCGGGAAATTCCCGGCCGGCCGCGCGCGTGCGCGGGACAATGCGCTTGCGCAGAAACGTTCGCGTGAATCGGTATAAGGTTTAGACCATTGGCCATGAAGCATAATGATGAAAGTTCTTGCAGTAGCTCTGATGATTAATCTCCTATATTCCGGTATTTTTGCTGCTTTTCCACTTTTTACCTAACGCAATTGTTGCAGGGAGTGTCACGACGTGGTCCTTGCCAATAAGGCAGGACATTCTCCTAGGGAATACAGCTGAACTTACCTGCGACCTTGGTGATCCGGTGTGGGATATTAGGGGCAGTCAGGATGGAGCACAGTCACGCTACGTATTCCCTCGGCAAATCAACGCAGTTCCCCCAGTGCTACAACTTCGAGGGTTTGAGTCCAGGTTTCAGAGTACCAGCAGCATCAGTACACTAAGTGTCCCTGGCTCAGTGGAGAACTGATAGAGATGCCCGGAGATGATTACATATCTTACGTTCTCAATGTTGTTGGTAATGAACGTATCATGAACGTATGCAGAGCATGATCTGTTGTATCTGTCTCAGGACCTCCGGAGAGGCCAGGGAGGTGAGGGGGTGGGTGGTGGAGTTCTCTCCACTGAGACTGAGACTGGAGTGGGAGGAGCCATTATTCCACACTGACCACCCGGTACTCCACTACACCCTCTACACCAGGGACGGAGGAGCCACAGCCAATACCACTGACAACAACATCACTCTCAGTCTGGAAGACAATGTGGACTTCAGTTACTGCAGCACCAGTGGTATTGGAGTGACTGCAGTCTATGATATTGGAGAGAGTGGACTGTCTCCAGTGGTTTCAATGGAAAGAGGTCAGTGTCTTTTTTGGGCAAACAATGATGTGCTGCTTCCGCATATGTAGTGTTGACAAAATGATCTCCTTTTCCTTCTAAAATAGATGTGACTGGCAAAAGATTTGCTATTGACGGAAATCTTACTTTCGAAAATGATCTATTCATGATCAACCTTTACATAAAAGTAAACATGACAGTGTGTACATGGCACCAATACCCTTCAGACAAACGTTGGTTGTTGTTGCTCAGTTCCCGCAGCTGTGTGAGGGCCAGGAGATGAGGTACAGAGTAGAGGTGGAGGAAGAGAGGACAGGGAGACTGGTCTACCAGGACACCAGAGTCTCAGAGTACAGAGGAGGAGATGTGGACTACAGCAACACTACCTCTTCTCTCCTGGACCATGGCTACTACACTGCTCTCGTCTTTCTCCACACTGGGGGACAAAACATATCCTCTTTTCCTCTGAGACTCTCAGTTTTTCAAGAAAGTAGGTTTCTATGATAATATGCTAAATTGTTATTTGGTATGCTGATACAGGTCCAGAGACAAAGATTGATGTAACCAGTAAGTAGCATGTAACCTATGTAATCTTTGTCCAAGAGAACATTGAGTATACATCCCACAGGTGCAGTCACAAATGATAATAGGAAGAAAGAAAGTCGGGGAATAAGTGAGCTGCAGTTGTGTAACTCGTGTGCATGATATGTGTTCAACAACTTCTCTCAACTACTTCTAGGTTGGTTGCTGGTAGTAATTGGGGTGCTGGTTGGGTCGGTCGCCTGTTTTATTGTAGTAGCTGTGCTAATAGGGGCTGTGATTTTCAAACACAAGACTTTGTCAAGTAAGATAATATTTCCATTATACATTTTAGCTTGTATGACATCACCTGCAGTACCACAAGAACCTTTGGAGAACAGGAACCCTATATATGAGGGACCACTGTATGAGAACATGGAGGAGAGTCCAGGGACCTCCCTCCCTCCTCCTCCCCCTCCCTCTGCCAGGAGGAGAGGGAGTGTCTCTCGGAGTGTGGACAATGTCTACCACAGCTCCCCTGTCCCCATCCCCACTGACCCCGAGACTGAGGGACTGTATGCTGAGCTCCTGGCTGACAAGAAACAAGAGTCCCAGACCAGGGCCCCGGGAGATGGGGAGGAGGAGACATACACCATCATGAGACCTGCTGGACACGCTGCAAGAGATGGGTTTAACATTGATCCCTACGTTGAGGAACGTGCTGCTTGGATTGGAAACAGAAAATAATCCTCAGAGAACTGGACTACAGTGACAAAATAGAATAGGTTGTGTGAGATTTGAATATAGTAGCTCTAGCTATAACAAGTGTGCTCCAGCTTTGAAACATGATCAATTTTTCCTAAGCAGCAGTGTAACTAGGCCATGAGGATGTGTATGCAGAGCGAGCGCATGTGCACGCCATCTGCGACAATTATGTTCACGAGCCTTGTTTATTGGCTTATAAGAGCTTTTGAAATAACAATCAGCTGTAGCATAAAGGGCTGCAGACCATTCATACGTCAGACCAACTCCTGTAGACCTCTCAGCAGAACTCATGTTTGTTTGCTTGAGCAGCATCAGCATGTGTGTGTGGCAGTTACCAGTAGGAAGCAGGGGAGTGGTAGAAAGGGGAAGATTCCCCATTACTCTGTTTGATTAGTAATAATCTCTATGAAATCATAACAACTTTCTATGCTGTCAGGTGCAGACCCTAGACCACCCACACAGCGTACATAGCACAGTACACCGATTGTTGGAGGGAGTATCCCTGAAGAGTTTTACTCCAATATTATGATGCATGACTGACACATAAACATGCTAACAGATGGCTCATCTCCAGGTGCCTTTTCTGTTAGTTATAGACTCCTTCAGATAATTATGATGCTAACCTTTTGTGAGCTCTTTCATCAGGATATGGAAATGAAGTGAGTGACCTGTGGCTCTCTGTAGTACTTGAAAACGAGTGTGAGAGGTGTTAATGCATGTGCCACATGATAGAGGTAGAGTCACCATTGATGTAGTGGGAGTATCAAGGTCCACTTACCAATGCAAACAACTGCTCACTGGCACACACTTGCTGCCAACATCCAACTACTGCACGTGTCCCACTGCCTGGTCTAGTCGAGACTGACAGATTATGACACTGGTATGCATATAATGTGAAAGAGGGAGATGCGGGCTGAGCTTGAAAGTAATTGCTTTAACAGTATACAGTTTCGTATAATGTGTGTGTGTGTGTGCCCTGCCCTGGTGTATGCCTATCATGGAGACTCCACTAGGTATCTTCCCCATAAAAGTTCCCTCATAATATTCATGGTGATAACACACAAAATGTGAATTCCCTTTGTCCACACAAACACACAGTATTTAACTTGTGCAAAGTTACTTTTACTTGCTACTGTATGCATGCAAAATATTTATTATTTTGGTGGTATATACCATTCCCAATGAAAATGATGTAGCATAAAAATAGAAATAATTATGGTAGTTATACAAAAGGATTTATAGAGATGGAAAAGTGTAAAGATTGAAATATTGGTCACATTACATTAATGAAAGAGAAAGAAAGACAACAGAAGAGCTATAGTCAGTTGATAATGACATCTGACTGGACAATCTCCACTGACTGTGGAAGAGATGAAAGTGGTTATGCATGTCTAAACAAACAATGACATGGCTGTATTACATCATCAACAGGTATTCATTCACCTATTGGTGTTTGAGTGGGGCTTGGATCAGCATCAATTGTTGGGGAAGACATTTCACTCGTGGTAGCTGGGCTTGGAGTTACACTGGCAGTGGACATGATTGTGGAGGTTGGCATTAACTCTCTAACTGCAAGTAGATAATATCATGGAAATCTTTGATGGGTCTTAAAAACACACACTTACCCTTTACTGTGCCTTCTGCACTGTAGTCGTCAGTATTGTTTTGCCTATCCAGGCTGCGGCATTTGTAAGATTTTCCATCAACATCAGGAGTGACTGTCAGGTTCACCAGTTTGGAACAGTTGGGGGTGCTTTCAGGTGATGAAGGAAGATTGCATCCTTCTGGTACATAGTGCAGGGAGTTGACATATGGAGGAAGATCGTCATAGTAGGCGAGTTCTTCAAACGTCATTTGCCGTCCAACTTCCAGCAGCTGAACTGGATTTCTGGTGGGGCCGGAGCACTTGAGTATCACATGCTGTCCGATGTACACGGGTATTTCACCAGTGGCGTTCAATGCAGCCCAATTAGCTGTAGAAACGGTCAATTTTTTAGCTACGGCTAGCTAGGCAATAGCAAACCTGCGAGGGGTCTCAAATTCGACAGAAGAACCACTAATGTGGGGAGTAGTGTGAAAGTAGCCATTGGATTCCCTGCTGGTTAGATCACGCATTTCTCCGTTTGCCGCTATTTTGTAGTGGAGGCTAATAAAAAGGGCATTGCCCCGGGAAAAGCCCGAATAGGACTATTACACGATCCGGCCGGCCGCGCCGCGCCGTAAACAAAGTCACGTGCACCGCCCGCATACTAATACGCATGCGCCAACTTTATCCCAGCAAATCGTCAGTGCGGCAAGATGGAGCTCTTTCAAGTCTTTCTGCTTTACGGCCTAATATCAGGTACTAATCCAACACAGAAAGAGCGCTCTTTTTCACTATTGATCCCACACAGTGGCGCAAGGTCAGTCTTCTGAAAATGTTCCTCTTGGTAATAATGTGACGCTGAACTGCACTTACGAACGCGGCATACAGTGGGAAATTATTGGGAGCGGCAATACTTCGCTTAATATATACCTGGATTATGTTCCACCGGAGGCCATAGAGAGGGGAATTGTACCTGTACCCCACCAAAAAGCGGGAGACGCGAATGTGAATAGATTGAAAGTTCTTGGATCACTTGAAAACAATCAGACACAAATCAAGTGCACAGAGTCAGGAAATGGATCTGTTACAATTGCATCGTACATACTGACTGTCATTGGTACGTAGATGCCACATAATATTATCAGTGCATTTCAAGTTCTGAGACTTTTTTGTAAATATTCTTCTCAGGACCTCCGGAGAGGCCAGGGGAGGTGAGAGGGTGGGTGGTGGAGTTCTCTCCACTGAGACTGAGACTGGAGTGGGAGGAGCCATTCTCCCACACCGACCACCCGGTACTCCACTACACCCTCTACACCAGGGACGGAGGAGCCCTCTTTACAGCTAACACCTCAAGTGTTACTTTTGGTCTCCAAGATGTGGAATTCAGCAGTAACTGTATCCGCAGTGCAGATGGCATTGGAGTAGCAGCAGTCAGTGATATTGGGGAGAGTGAACTATCTCCAATAGAGTCCATATGGAGAGGTACGTGGCCTTTTTATCAGTGAATAAGTTTGTCTGCATATACAGTTACGGATGCTGTTGCTTTCATGCCTCACGTATGATTTTCGCAGACGTGGATGACAAACACTTTTCTGTTATTGAAGGAAAACTTTTTTCCCAAAATGAACTTTCAATTCTTGAACTTCTTATCAAGGTAAACACTGCATATGTCTAACATGTTACTAACAGTGGAGGAGTGAAGGTAAACATAGACAAGTTTATAGTGTATTTTAACCCTCTCTACTTTCCATGTAACAAAAACAAAGTTGTTGTTGCTCAGTTCCCGCAGCTGTGTGAGGGCCAGGAGATGAGGTACAGAGTAGAGGTGGAGGAAGAGAGGACAGGGAGACTGGTCTACCAGGACACCAGAGTCTCAGAGTACAGAGGAGGAGATGTGGACTACAGCAACACTACCTCTTCTCTCCTGGACCATGGCTACTACACTGCTCTTGTCTTTCTCCATACTGGGGGGCAAAACATATCCTCTTTTCCTTTCAGACTACTTAACAGTAAGTATTATGCCATGATGTTCTTACAACAGTTGTTAGAATGGACGATTACCTTTTCAACACAGGTGGAGGGACAAAGGAAACTTCTGAGAAGGAAAGCAGTGGAATTGGTAAATTGAAGTTTGAATTTTTTCCATGGCATTTGTGACACCTGTGTGTGTAATTTGCGGTGGTCTTGTTTAATACAGGTGCTCAAGAAAATGACTCAAAGACAGGTGGTAATGCTCAACTACAGTGCATTATTAGGGTTACTAGATATTTTTTAAATAGATGTGTTGCTGTCAGTGATTGTGGTCCTGACCGCCCTGGTGATATGCTTTTTGGTAGCGGCAGTTGTTGTTGGAGCCATATTGGTCAAAAACAAATTTTTCTCTAGTGAGTCCCAAAACAAAACAAAACACACTTTCAATATGTTATCTCTTTGAAGCTACTCGCGAAGTAAAAGAAAGTGGGAACCCCATATATGAGGGACCACTGTATGAGAACATGGAGGAGAGTCCAGGGACCTCCCTCCCTCCTCCTCCTCCCTCTGCCAGGAGGAGAGGGAGTGTCTCTCGGAGTGTGGACAATGTATACCACAGCTCCCCTGTCCCCATCCCCACTGGCCCCGAGACTGAGGGACTGTATGCTGAGCTCCTGGCTGCCAAGAAACAAGAGTCCCAGACCAGGGCCCCAGGGGGGTGAGGAGGAGGAGACATACACCATCATGAGTCCAGCTGGACACGCTGCAAGAGATGGGCTCAACTCCACTCCTAATTACACGGAAGACCGTGCTGCCTGGATTGGCAAAAGAAAATAACTCATTGCTTGGATTGTACAATGTAGCTATTCCTAAGTGACTGACATAAAGTTCCTTTTACCACTACTGTAGCCTGTATGTATTGTTACTGAATTTTTAGAACGGATAAAGAAAACTGCGCTTCTCCGTCCGTGGCGCTTGCGCAGCAAATGCGTGGGCGGTAGAGCCGGTCACTTTCCGTGCGCGCGTGGTACAGTTGTGCAGCGTGGAGTTAGATAGGTGCAAACGAAATGAAGATAGCAACATTATTACTGCTCTCAGCAGCGTGCAGAGCAATGCAGGGTGAACCGAGACGTAAGTTAGCAAACGACGTTGGTTGTTGTAATGATGAATGTCAGTGAATAGCTATTTCTACAATGATACAGAGATATTGGAAGGTCCAGAGACTCAAGTGGTGTCCAGTGATGAAAGCAGTGTGACGTTCAACTGTAGAATCAGAGGAGAAGATGTAGAATGGACGATCAATGGAAGATTAAGTGATCCAACAGAGAACATCCGACTAATAGGCAACTTGGTGTGGAGTTCAATAAGAGTCCCAGACTCAATGGAGAAATAAATGCTTCAATAACTTTCCCAAACATTCCACATTTCAACTCCACTCGAGTGATATGTGTATCGCTTAACGCAACAGGAACTTCACAGAGTTCAGAAGCAGTTATGATCACTGCAGGTACGCACACAAAATGAGAGCTAACTCAGCAAAAGACTTAGTGATAGCTATCGCTCCAGGTCCCACACTCCCTCCTGTCCCTCGACTGAAGGTGTTGAGTGCCACGTCAGTGAGAGTGTCATGGGAGGAGCCATTCACATGGGACCTCTTCCCAGTCCTCAGCTATCAGGTCTCAGTCTACAATGTCTCCAGTGGAACATACACCAATACTTACACTCTGAGTGGGAGCCAGAGGTCTCAAGTTGTAACTGTAGAATCTTGCTCTGTCCTGGTTCTCCAAGTAACTGCATCAAACAGGGAGGGAACGAGTGCTCCAGGAACCATCACTGCAGAAATCCCCGCAGGAAGTAAGTTTCCTGAGATAGAAACAAATGCATGATTGTTCTTTGGCTTTCTCACATGCCTTGATTGCACGTTTTCGGTCAGCTTCAGCAATCCCAAAATTGTTGTACTCACTAGAAATGTAGTAGCAGTTGTAATCATGGACAGATGTCAGCAACTATTATTGTTCTAACTATCTACTATGTCCAAAAGAGTAACAAAGGCTGCTGTGAATTCTTTCCAGTAAGAAATAGCCTGAGTCTTGCCGTTGAACTGGTCAAGTTGATTCTCTTGAGCGATGGGCAGCAAGGGATTGCGATTTGTGTAAAGGTGGGGTTTATTTCTTGTCTCATCAGCAGCCAGCTCTATGTTCTGGCCTCCAGCTCCCAGTGTTGTGTGTGTTCCAGAGAGTGAGGTACAGTGTTGTCATCTCTCATGGAGGAGACCAAGTCCTAGAGCTGACCAGAGAGTTCAACTACAGCAGTGGCTACACTAGTGAGTGTGTTGAGGAGAAGGTCAGTGGAGAGCTGGAGGAGGGAACTGAGTACAGTGTCCAGGTCTTTGTGGATGCTGGAGACTCTGGCAACATTTCTTCTCCAATTCAGACCTTCAGTTAGTAGCTATATAAGAAATCAGTGTGACTCCTATGTATGCTGAAGAATTTCCTACCCATTCCCAAAAATGGCAAGTTGATACAGTAACACAAAAATAGCTCCTTTGGGAGGTGTTTTGTGGGCATGAAGTGCTCACGTATGAGTAACTATGTTAGAAGTGTGTAAGTGGTAAACACCACCCTCTAGTACCTCCAGGACCTCCAGTGACTGCTAATACAACAGAGCAAACACAACCATTTAGTACGGCACCAACTCTCAGTAAGTCTTGAGTGTGGTTTGTTTCTCACTGCCCACTGCCACCATGATACACTATGCAGTACCCAGCAATAATTATGGTAGCAGATCAGAGGAGAGCAATAATGGTCTCTCAGTGGGACTAGCTGCAGGTATTGCAGTGGTCCTCTCTCTACTGGTGGTCCTGCCAGTGGGTGTGGTCATCGGCTGCTGTGGAATGTGGTGTCTGCTAAAGAAGAGTATTCGACAGGAGGATCTGCCAGGGAATATCTATGATGTGCCAAATCTCACTGAGAATACCTTCCCTCTCTCTGATAATGAGGCCTATGGCTCTGCTAATAAGAGCAGGAACTAACTTGATGTTTGAATTTCATAGTGTGTGCATATACCATGTATAGCATTTCCCGCGCATTCGTCCTGCGACAGCGCGCGCATAATACTAAATCCGCGCAACATCTGGCGGTGTTGTTAGATGATGACCATGATGATGAGAAGCTCCGAGTCTTGCTGGTTCCAGAGGAGTGGGCTACCTCGAGCGGCCCTCGCAGCCTTGCTAGCACTGTCTCTCTCCCGCCAGGCTGACACCACTAATGCCAGTACGTGGAACAGTGATTCTAGCTAGGTTTGCCATCGTCGACACAACATCACGTTTCTTGTCTGTAGTACACGTGGGCAGCAAATAGTTCTGTTAACATGGCCGTGATTCTTTCATCTGTACTGTCTGTGATTTTGGAATGCTATGTAAAGAAAGAACACTAGCTGAACGTGGGATTTCATAGCTAAGGGTTTCTGCATTAGCATACTTTGCTACGTAGATAGGTAGTTCTAAGGTTTAGTTTGTCCAACATGCATCACTTTCAAGATTCGTAAGTGCATCCTGTCTGTTTGCTGGTATATTAGCTAGGGGAGTTTTTGTTTGACCACAGCTGGCGACTGGTGGTGGGTTATCAGGGTTTGAGGGATGAGAAGTAGACAAGGATATGTGGAGGAAAACTGATTAGAGTCATGAATGTTTTTGTCAGTCAACAGTAGCCACCTGCCTCCCTACTGATAGTGTAGAGATGTCTCTGTCACCTGCAGAGATCCTTGTTCCTCTGGAGAACGAGACAGTCGTCCTGGGAGACGTGGCCCACTTCTTCTGTCAGATACAGGGAAGATATGGAGACTTGAGACTGAGGATTGACGGAAGTGTCAAGAGCCTAGACTTTCACGATCTTGATATAATTGTTACTACAGAAAATGGTTCCTCTGTGGATGATGATATGGCATTCACAAACATCACTATCAACATAACTGCATCTGAAAAACATAACAACACTTTACTGGAGTGCTATGATGTTGATCTTGGTAGAGGGAGTTCATCAAAAGCAACGTTGACAATAAAAGGTATGCACAGAAAGAATACTACTCTGTGAATTAGCTATTACTGACATTGTCCTGTTGCAGGAGGACCAGGGGTGCCAGAGGTGGGGTATGAGGTTGACCGAGATGAGAAAGAGATTGTGCTGTCCTGGCCACACCCCTTCACCTGGGAGGACTACCCCATCACTGGATATGATATTGTGTGCAGCGAGACTGAGTCAGAGAATATCGTTGATAACGTGACACTCAATGATACTGACATCCTAAATGAACCAGTTGTCAATCACACTGTGGATCTACCTCCACATATCCCAGACTGCTACACTCTCCAGTGTACTGTGACAGCCTCTAATGCTCTAGACCAGAGCAACATATCCATCACTGACATCAATTTCCCCAAGAGTAAGCATTCTGTTCAGTAAATGCAACTGTTTTTATGAAAAGTGTTGTTTCCACTGCCCACGTGTCCGCTGTTTTTTCCCCCATTGAAATGTGTATTCCTCTTGTTTGTGAGAGTTGTGTTATGAAAATTTGACATCTATAATTATTCGAACACTCCACAGTGCAAACCAGTCCAGTTCCTGCCATAGAGCTGGCGAAAACGCTGTCCCTGGGGGATGGGAAACAAGAGATTATCGTTTGTGTAAAGGTGGGTCTGCCCTTCTCATATCTCAGTTGTTTTGCTATCATCCATTAGCCGATAATTTCTACTCGTTATATTTTCTTGTAGTCTCATCAGTGCGTATGCATTCCTCTCCCTCCAGCTCCCAGTGTTGTGTGTGTTCCAGAGAGTGAGGTACAGTGTTGTCATCTCTCATGGAGCAGACCCAGTCCTAGAGCTGACCAGAGAGTTCAACTACAGCAGTGGCTACACTAGTGAGTGCATTGAGGAGAAGGTCAGTGGAGAGCTGGAGGAAGGAACTGAGTACAGTGTCCAGGTCTTTGTGGATGCTGGAGACTCTGGGAACACTTCTTCCCCCATTCTTACCTTCAGTGAGTGTTTCTGTTGAGGATTGAACCATGTATAGTAGCGGCTCGATAGTTTGGTAAGAAAGGGGAATCCTTAGTGTGCCAGTAGTAGGTATTAGACCACATGCACATGTGAGTCTTTCTCAGTACAATTGTGTGTATGTGTATGTGACCTAGTTCACCATGACCCAAACAGTTTCAAGTTGTGTGAACCAGAGTAGCTGGCTGTAGTAAAAATATAGTACTACATTATTAAGTATTTGTATGCATACACACCATTTTAGAGCATCGGGCAATCTCTGGGAAGGCTGTGTTGGAGCCACAAAATGGTGAGATTAAGCTAGTACTCTGCACTATAGTGATCACTGGAGATATTGCTCGGTGGGTGTTGTGCATTTTTCTGAGCTAGCCAGGAGCTTTGCTGGCTTCTGTGGTAATACTCATGGTTTTGATTGCACCTTGATGATAGTTTGATAAACATCAGTGTTGTGTTTGTTAAAAACAGCATGTATTAAGTATGTGTATGTATATAGCAGTTTGGTGTTACACAGCTGCAAATTTGGCAGGCTGTGCCATGTTTTTCCATCGCCATATTATATCAGTAGCTATGTGTCTGTATAGGGTTTGAAGGGAGTGGAGATGATTCTGATGGTAGGTAACTTGGCAAGACACTTCTGTCTCATTTCCCACTAATTATGCCGGACACTCATAGTAAATAACTTTGTTATCTGTTAAACCCTTTCCCTCCCAGACACTGCCAAGACCGGTCTCGTTGTTGACATCGCCATGGGAACTGTCATGATCATCATTATTGTGATTTTGATCATATTTGCCTTTATCATCATTGGCATGTGGAGAGGTGAGTGGTGAGTGGTGAGTGTTATGTGAGCAGTGTGTGAGGGTGTTGGTGTGTTAAGTAACCGCTAAGAAAGGCGTGACACTTGGAAAGGAGTATTTTGAGTAGGCTTAGTGTGTTGCTTTTTAACCCTTGGATGCCATATGTATCTCCTTAAATAAGCAAAATTGATGTATAAATGCCTAGTATTATAGTCATATATAAATTCTTATGCACTTATGCAGGCTCATGCCCGTGGCTTGCTAAGGGTTAAACCATGTCTTCATTAGCACTCTTCTCTTCCGTGTTTATACCCAATGAACAGGATACAAAATAATCCTTGAGGCACCTTAATAATGTAATGGGGGGAGGTGGAGAGGTGTGAGCTAAACTTAATAATAATGTGCGTAAGGCTGTGAGAGTGTGGAAGGTGTGGAGGAGAGTTTGAGGACTAGGAGAGTGGAGAGTGTGCGGAGGGGAGGTGTGAAGGGATTTATAATGTTTGGTCGGTTCTCTCATCCTCTCCTCCCCATATTCCCTGCAGCTACTAAAGGTAATCATCGTATTATGGTGCGAAGTTCCCGACCAGCAGGAGCCACTAACAAAGTGTTTGACCACGAGGCCTTACCCCTGGACAGAGAGGACGGGAAGACCACAGCTGTTGAGGAGCCCTACTACCACACTCTGGATGGCTCCGAGCAGAAGGCCCGGAGGCCACCCACCGAGCCTCTCTACACCACTCCTTTCTCTGATGTCAACAATAAGAAGAAGTGACAGACTCTGTGCTGTGTGACAGCTAAAATACTATAATCATCTGAGTTCATCATTCACAAGCTCTAATTCCACTCACACATTCTGATTTCACACTCACATGCACATGTTTCCGGTCCTAGTGTACCGAGTGTTTGCTCATAAACAGCTCACCATTCAGTTGTAATAGTCAAACAAATCACATCACGTCCCTCAATGACAGGTGTTGTGGCGGAGAGCCTGGGAGTGGGCCCAGCTCATTTGGATGGTTGGGGTATTCAGGTGTCCAGACATCCCAACATTTTCCCTGCCAGTCCCGCGGCTTCTCTGAATGGGCCTGGAAAATAAACAGAGCTATTGAGACAGATTGTGTCAACAGGTGGCTGGGGGCACAGGGACTGTACTCTGCACCACTAGAGGCCATACAGAGACCTCTGCTTTATAAACGGAGCACATGCTGCAGACCAGCAGTTGCTGTAGAACCAACCATTTGTGTGTGGGGTTGACTGAGAGAGTGTGTATGGAGACGATGGGGCTGAAGACATCTATGATACTGGGTCTTTGTACTCTACTGAGTTTTGCTGCTGTGGGCCAGACTGGACGCTTCACTCTGGGTAAGAATTTGTTCTGCTTTTTTTGTATATACGGTGGAAAGTGCATTCGCACGCCCGCTGACCGCGGCCTATGCTTTTTGTCCAGTCCACGCATGCGTAGTTCGATACGGAGAAGATAAACTGCGCTTTAATTCTCCGTGGCGCTTGCGCAGCAAATGCGTGGGCGATTTAGCCTATTTACCCGGTCACTTCCCGTGCGCGTGGTACAGTTGTGCAGCGTGGAGTTAGATAGGTGCAAACGAAATGAAGATAGCAACATTATTACTGCTCTTAGCAGCGTGCAGAGCAATGCAGGGTGAAGAAATTCTACCGAGACGTAAGTTAGCAAGCGACGTTGGTTGTTGTATAGTCTGCAATGATGAATGTCAGTGAATAGCTATTTCTACAATGATACAGAGATATTGGAAGGTCCAGAGACTCAAGTGGTGTCCAGTGATGAAAGCAGTGTGACGTTCAACTGTAGAATCAGAGGAGAAGATGTAGAATGGACAATCAATGGAAGATTAAGTGATCAAGCAGAGAACATGAGACTAATAGTCAACTATGGTGTGGAGTTCAATACGAGTCCCAGACTCAATGGACAAATAAATGCGTCAATAACATTCCCAAACATTCCATATTTCAACTCCACTCGAGTGATATGTGTGTCACTAAATGCAACAGGTACTTCACAGAGTTCAGAAGCAGTTATGATCACTGCAGGTATGCACACAAAATGAGTAACCCAGAAAAAACCATAGTGATAGCTATTGCTCCAGGTCCTCCACTTCCTCCTGTCCCTCGACTGGAGGTGTTCAATGCCACGTCAGTGAGAGTGTCATGGGAGGAGCCATTCACATGGGAGCTCTTCCCAGTCCTCAGCTATCAGGTCTCAGTCTACAATGTCTCCAGTGGAACATACACCGATAATTTCACTCTGAGTGGCAATGAGACTTCTCAAGTCATAACCAGACAAACAGAGACTACTGTTTGCTCAGAGCTGTGGCTTGGGGTGACTGCTAAGAATGGGGAAGGAGAAAGTGCTGCAGGAACTACCTCAGGAGGATTTCCAGTTGGTAAGTCTTCCTGAATCCCTTCCTTTAGTATGTGTTCTGTTGAGGTGAGTTGTTGGCTGTTCAGTTGGTGTGAAAACGAGCCTTCTCACCAGCAGCATACAGAGTGTACGGACGTAGGGAGCCAAATGAGAAAACCTCAACAACTGATAGGCAATGGAGTGGCCAGGCAGCGCCAGCAGTGGTTGGCCCAGCCCCCAAAGGGTGTAGCCTGCTTGTATCAACAGCTGTGGCTTTCCCTCTACCCTGCCCTCTCTGGTCCTTTCAGAGGCTCCCCGCTTTTTGCCAAGCTCGTCCTTGGCCTCTATATTTTGATTGATGGGAGCATCAGATTAACAGCTGGTGACTGACAGTGTAGGAGGATTGATGTTCCACTTGAAAACACTTTACTACAAGAAAATTCAGTAGTGAATAATTGTCTGAGGAATGTCAACAAAGTCATCATGCATCTTACTGATTTTATTTTCCTATTTACTGCAGTTCCGAGTGACTTTCCCTATAAACCAACACCTGATGTAAAGTTTGAAGCGGACGGAACTCCCACAGTGAAAGTCATCTTCAATGTGAGTTGTTGGTAGCTCACTGGTTTCCTGAGTGGAAGAGGTAGCATATGGTGGGTAGCTAGACCTTCCAGGAATCCCTTTGCTGTGGGATAGGATTCATCCTGTCCTCCCACACACTGCTCCCTCCATGGACCTGTGGACAGGGGATTCAGGAGATTCCTGAACAGAGAGGCTTTAGGATGTGTGCCTCCCTGGGTATCCCTTCCCCTGTCTTCCTTGCCACTTCAACCACATCCTCAGCTCACGTCATGTCTTGCATGAACATAGCTGTACTGGGATCATCTCCAGGTGCATGCCTTGGGGTATGGTAGATTATTGAGCCCCTAGTGTGGAATTGTGATATATAGGGGTTTGCCCCTCCATTATCAGTGCTTCATGGTTAAAAATGACAATAAGTTTAAGTGTTGGATCGATACTGTGATTATGCTCTTTCTCTCTATTATTTTATACAGCCGCCAACAATATGCAGTTTCCAGGAGGCTTCTACCAGCTAAAGGTGTTCAGAGATGGCTCAAATGAACAAGTCATTGAAACAGAACGTCAGAGGATTGACAATTCTCAGAGTGTGGTTGAAGCTGAAATTACTTCGATGATACTACAGGCAAACAAGGACTATCAGGCAACCCTGCTCTATGAGACCAACTTCTCCACACTGGAGGCTGAAATGCAATTTAGTAAGTGCTAATTTTCAATCACATTGAGACACTAATGGTGAATGGTGTAAGAAAACCCATGACTCAATCCCTGGAATCTCTCACGCTTTCAGTTGGTCAGCTTCCCCTAATACCTGGTTGTCAACATTCAGTTCTCAGCAAGCCACACACTCACCACAACAGGTCTTTAGTTGCTCTCTAACTGTCCTAAATAGGTGGGCAGCCTGCCCAGTGGGCTCAGGTAATTATAGCTCTCTTTAGAAGCCTGTACCTCAAGGACCTGCTGAAGTGTGTGTGTGTGTGTGTGTGTCCAGGCACATACTCACCACTGGAACTACTACCACTTGGGCCCTCTTTGATAATGGGAATGTTTGCACAGGCTGAGGGAGATAAAATTCCTGGCTCTAGAGGTTTCTTAGAGGAAATATGGCTCTGCACTCCAGGGCCCTGCAGGGGAACAGCAGTTGAAGCTTTTGTGTTGGTAGTAAACTAAAGAGGATACCTTGGCAAGGGGTGCAGAGACTGTATTATAGCTGCCTGTGAACTTAGCTGTAATACAATAATGCCCCAACAACTGCTGCAATACAGCAGTGAATCGATCTCCATAATCTCCAGCCAGCTGAGTTTCCAGGCCTTTAGTTCCTCATTCAGCATCTCATTATTAGGTTTGGCTGAAAGTGGACTTATCATACACATGTATACAGTATCATAATTATATTCTCAGTGTCCTATCCCACTCCCCCACTGCCCCTACCAAATCACACATGGAAACAGTCATGCATAAGCAGTATCACTGAGTGACTAGGATTCTCTTTCTTGCCACTGCAGGCACTGCCTTCCACCCCACTGCCCCAGGTCAGCCTCCTTCCTGTAGTCTCTGTACATAGCCCTCTCACTGGTGTTGTCTGTGAGTCTGCATGACTGTTTCATGGAGTGGTCTGTAGTGGGACAGGACACTCGTTCACCGCCTCTCTTCCTTTCTCCCTCTCTCACCTTCACTTCCCTCTCTCTCCTCCCACACAGGTGTCACTGATGATGGTAAAGGAACTACCACTACAGATGGTAAGAAACACTCTTTCTCTCGTCAAATTTGATCTATTGACCAATCCTGTGGTAATAGTAGGCTGTAGCAATGTTTACTACTCTATGATTAACCCCATGCAGGGCCAGCACCAAGTCGACCAACCACTCCAGATACTGGTAAGTTAAAGTGGCAACTGTGTATAGCGGCACACTTGTTATCTTTTGTCCTTTTGTTGTGCAGGAAAGAGCATTACGTCTGGCTTGAAAGATGGCGAAGATAGTGAGTTTGAGAGTGGGCTATGGTAGCAATTACACCATCCACTGCTGTTTATCAACAAAATCAGTCCTCCTGAACACTGTACTACAACGTTGTTTTAGCCATGAGTTAGAGTTACTAGTCCACTGCCCGATGATGGACCAGGTTCAAGCCTTGCATTATATAGAATTCAGCTCTACAACAGGGATAAGAGTCATTAGAGCTGTTTACTATGCTATTAGAGTGGTGTAGGGAGGCTTGGCTTGTATGTGTGTGGTAAAGGTTGTAGCTAGAGTGGATCGACATACTCCAACAAGGCAGAGAGTGCATGTCTTAGCACGAGGTATGGGGTAGCATGAGCCTCTGGACATGACCTCACAGAGTGTGCTCCCACAACCCAGCCTCTCCCTCCTCCTCTTGTGGCCGGCCTGAACCAGTGCCAGTCATGTCCGGGAGCTTGTCTCTTGGAGCTGGCAGATGTTCACATCGTAGAGTATCTCTCCCGGCAATCTTATCCCACTGCCTGTCACAACAGTACACAATGCCTGTACAGCTCCTGTGTAAACCCACTGGCTAGCTTGACTCACATGAACACAGCTAGACTCGTGTGCCCAGTCATGTGCTCATATTCTGCTCTTTTCAACCCACGCAGGGCCAGGGAATCTGGTGGCTATCGTTAGTTCAACAACTGGAGGGGTTCTGGTGCTGGGTACTCTTGTCCTAATCATCATTATCGTCATTATCATCATCCTAAGGAGACAGCAGAGAGGTACGTACACCTACACTACATCTGTATTAGTATGAGAGCACTTCATTATGGTTATCACTGGTAGGAGTACTATCATAAGTCACCCACCTAAATGGACAAAATGCATTATATTGTGAAACACACAAGAAACATTGTGAGATGACTGGGCCAAGCCTTGCCAACACAGCATGAATACAGTACAACACACTCACCCCATGCTGACTGATGATTCAGCAATTACAGAATAGGTTTTTTCCTCGCAATAGCTATTTCATGGCTCAGTTCCAAGCCTCTGTTTATTCATTAGAGGAGGACCATACATTTCCATTCCAAGGTGTTAGTAATGGAAGTACTGCACTCTCTGTAGACCTCTTGTACCTCTCAGCTACTATTCCACTCTGATTCATAGATATTCCTGTTGCATGTGGATGTGCAATCCACAGTGTGTGATGACTGTAGCATAGAGAACTGATCCCACTGTGTTTGAGCATGAAACCAAGTTCCCAGTCAGTGAGAGTAGCATGTCCCTCTCCATTAGCACACTCTTCAAATTATCTCCTTCCATGACACTCCATCCATTGTAGTAGCTAGCATGGGTCCAGAAAAGACTTTCCAAAACAGGCCCCCACTGGTTGGCTGTGTAAATGGATACCCTTCAACTCCGTTTCAGAATCTAACCACTTCTGACCATAGTAATAGTGCTGGTCTGGGTGTTGGATTCCCCACTCCCTGTCAGCCACTGGCCCACACTGACACACTAACACCCCCTCCACCCTCTTCCCAGCACTACCTTACTCAGGTCCACTCTCCCACAAACATTGTTCCCTTGCTGTTTACACAGCCTGACCTCTAGGGGACAGCTGGTATAGACACAGGTCTGATAAGTGTAGCACAGGAAGGGAAGGGGTAGTACTGATAGGAACATGTAGGGTGACATCATCCCTCTGATATGTAGGGAATGAAGTTCAGAAGAGGAATTCAATGGTAGACAACCCTCTGTATGAAGGACCAATCTACGAGGTCATCTCTGAGAACAAGAGACGCAAACAGCTCTGCCCAAAGGCCAAAGTCCATGCTGAAGAATCGGTGTACCTGGACAGTCCGACTCAGTCAATGCCGCGAGACTGCACCCCTTCATACTCCAACAGTGCCATGGTGATAGCCAATAGCATGGCAAATGGGAAGGCAAGTGATCGAACTGTCATCAAACTAGACCTTGTGGAGAGCAGCCTCGATCACCACCCACTCCAGACAAATCCCTACACCAACAGCTCCATGGAACCTGTCACTGAAGATGCATACACATTGATGCGTCCGGCACCTCCAGCTACAAGCCTCAATGACCATACGAACTACCTGGTGGCTCACAGCAACGAGGAGAGACAATTTGTTTTGGACGCTAGCTCTCCTCGCTCCAGTGGAACCAGTCAGAAACAAGTGACTCTTGTCTAAGAGACTGTGTAGGGGGAAATCCCTGCCTTATCAGTAATGATCATTCTTCCTCCACCAATCAATAATGTAGTGTATTTCCCTTTCTGCATGTTTGGCATTTGTGTTCATTTTCAGTGTATTCTGTGGTATACCTCAGTCTCTAGCTGCCTAGCCTCACTCCCTTACTGCACTTGGTCTGTAGCTACTCCAACTCTACCCTTTCTTCTGACTAACAGTTTTTCCTGAATGATATACTATGTGAGCACACATTATGCACATTGTTGTGCAAACATGGACACGTGGCTCGTGCAGTTTATTGTTATCTCACACAGTGTCCGCAGGTGTTCGCCTGTTAGTTACTACTACTCAAGTCGTTGTGTATAATTATGCAGGTGTTGTTCACTTAGACCATCATCGTACCACGTTCATTGTGTCCCACATCTGTAACTCGTGTATATTTCGTGTACTGTACAGGATTTTTATGAAAAGAAGTAGTGTTTACCAACACACATTCAGCGTCCAGCATACCACATTTGAGAAGGGTAATTATGAACCCATTAGCTACAGCATTGTTGGCTGAATGGTAAGACCTAGCTGTGCTGGGGCAATTGCCCACAAGGCATTAGGTCCATTTTTGGCCAGCATCTCTGCTATATAGGACTGGCGTGATAGAGTAGAGCCATTTTATAAGGAAACCACTGCATATTGTTAGTTTAGAGTGCTGAGTCATCCCGAGTCCTTCTTTAGTCATCCAGCTAGCATCCTGTGTGAGTACAGCCCTAGCTCTGTATTTGCAGTAGCAGTTCAAACCCTGGAAGTTAGCAGTGACAGTGAAAGTCAGAAGACAAACGGAAAGAGGAAGAAGGAAAGATGGAGTCTCCACAGGAACTGTTGGCAAAACTGGACAGACTGCTGGAGGAGACGTCGTGGAAAGGTCCTCCCTCAGACCTGTCTCACCTGACGGCTGATCCAGAGCATCTCCAGCTGTTCCAGGAGGTGGTGCTCGGAGGAGGCCACCAGGACTCCATTGCCGACTGCCTTGCTGCACAGGTGGCGAAGGCTCTGGAGAGAGTTGGGAGGAGGGGCCGTTCAGACTGTGTAGTGTGGGGTGCGGGGATGGGAAGTTGGACAGGAAGATCCTGGCAAAGATAGTGGCATCTCACCCCGGGCTGGCTCTGGAGTATGTGGGGGTGGGGCTGTGCGAGCAGGGGTGTGAGGAGGTGCTGGGGGAGATGGAGGGAGTGGGGGAGGGTGTGGAGGTGAAGACTGTGGCGATGGACTACAGCGAGCTGTCGAGGGAGGACGTAGGGTCTTTCCACTGTGTCCTGATGGTCAGTTGTCTCTGCTACAGTGTGGCTCCCGAGGCCACTCTACAGGCAGTGCTGAGTCTCCTAGAGCCAGGAGGACAGGTAGTCATCGTCTCCTCCAGTCGCCAGTCTGTCGATCAGCTCATTGGTCGCTTCTGGAAACACCAGCGACACTACGACCTCTGCACCACGGAGGACGCGACAGCTATTCTCAAGAAGATGGGCAGGAGCTACTCCATGTCACAGCTTCCAGTCATCTTTGACCTCAGCTCCTGTCTCCAGGATCAGTTCAAGAGTCAGCAGTCAAAGCTTGTTCTAGATCACCTCATGCAGGTCAATATGGATGAGTATAGCCCTGCAATTAGGGAGCTAGTTGGGAATTACTTGAAAAATATTGCTGTAAATTGTGCTAAAGTAGAATCTGTGAGTGATGTAATCATTGTTTACTAGATTCAAATTATGACAATGATAAAACTTGGAAAGAAAGAAGATCACAATCATAGAGCAATCTGAAAACCCATAATTGGCGAGCGGGAGCGAGCTAACCTAGTGGTCCGAACGGCGCGATTTTTCTATATGCGAGTCCTACACTCGTACGGGTTCGTGTTACAGCGCATGCTCCAGGATTACGGCCGCTTCTTTTTATCGGAAATGATTTTCAAAATTTTCACATGCTAGTGCTAGTCACTCTGGGGTGTAGCTCCGTACTCTCGCAATCATGGATCAGTCTTGAGAGGATGCCCTTCGTTTTCGAAGAGAGAGGGAAAGAGAACATCGTGCCCGTGAGACTCCCGAGCAGAGACGCTTGCGTGATAGGGAACGCGCTAATTCTTTACACGCTGCCTTGCTGTCGTATCGATGCGAAATCTAACCAGCGAAAGAACTCTCGTGACGTCTATTCCCTGGCATTCACTGCGCTCTTCGATACCTGACCGAGGCTTTATTGGCGAGCGGGAGCGAGCCAACCTAGTGGTACGAACGGCGCGATTTTTCTATATTATATATATATAATATCTACGACCGTACGTCGTGTAAGTGCGCATGCGCGTCTTTGTACGCGCTTCTTTTTATCCGAAACTATTTCCAAATTTTTACGCATTTTCACACAGGTGCCTCGCGGTATGCGTCGATCGATCTATATAGCCATTCGACGGCATGCGCTGCAACCTTCGCTGACTGACCGAGGCTGTACCTCTTCCCAATCTTCATGGTTCCAAGCTGCACTTGCAAATACGCTAGGATTTGCTCGTGCACATACTGCTGCATGCTCAGCTGCCTGGTAGACCCACGCCGCTGTTGTCGGCAACCCGATCAATCGCTTGCCTAGCCTACTGCCATGCCAGCCTGACTGTGGACCACGACAGACGAGCTGAAAGCCTAAGGTAAGGACGTTCTGCCAATATACAGTACACGATGTAAACGTCGGAGTACATGGTAGCTATGTCTTGCTTCACGAAAGGAAAGCTGTGCAGCTGCCCAGCACGTTATGCAGCCCGAACATCGCGGACAAATCCCAAGTTGGGTCGCTCCCGCTCGCCAACAATGTTCACATTTGCCATTAGTATAATTATATATTATATATATATATACGACGTACGTCGTGTAAGTGGCATATGCGCGTCTTTGTACGCGCTTCTTTTTATCCGAAAACTATTTCCCAATGTTAAACTTTTCACACACAGGCTAGCGTTGTCGACAGCAGCTGATTCGATCGCTGCCTAGCTCTCATGCCAGCTGCCTGGTGGACCACGACAGACGAGCTGAAAGGTAAGGTAAGGACGTCTGCTCACCTGCTCACCGTTCTGGCAATATTACAGTACGCATGTAACGGCGAAGGTAGCTCTGTCTTGCTTCACGAAAGGAAAGCTGTGCGCTGGCGGCACGTTATGCAGCCCGAACATCGCGCACAAATCCCAAGTTGGGTCGCTCCCGCTCGCCAACAACGGTCCTTACCTTACGCTTTCAGCTCGTCTGTCGTGGTCCACCAGGCAGCTGGCATGGAAGTAGGCTAGGCAGCGATCGATATCAGGCTGCTCGACAACGCTAGCCTGTGTGTGAAAATGTGTAAAAATTTGGAAATAGTTTCGGATATAAAAAGACGCGCATGCGCACTTACACGACGTACAGTCGTAGATATAATATAGAAAAATCGCGCCGTTCGTACCACTAGGTTGGCTCGCTCACGCTCGCCAATTATGCGCGTGCGCATTCCTAGTTAGTGAGTATATAGTGTGCATGTGCGCATTGCGTAACGCGAGGGGCGCTTTGAAGACAGTCCAAAACGGAGAAACAACAATGCCGAATGCGTGGAAGTTTATGCTCATTTTGACAGTGGCTCAAACAGTAATTCGCTCAATCTTATAAGCGCTACAGCTTTATTATAATTCGCTTTGTTACCAGCTCCTCCCACTTTCACAGGTCTTTGCACTTTCATATGAAGATCTGATGCCAAAGGCCGAATTTGTTGAGACCCCGTTCGTTTATGGCTGCGAGAGCAGCGCAAGTATGTGTCTGTTTCCGCCAGAATGGAATACTTCCCATGCCCTTTACGGAGTCTCAGTGGATGATTTATACCATTGGGTACTTATTGTCATTGGAAACAATCAGCAATTTCACAATCAAGAGTCTTGTCTGGAAGGATTGACGTATACGATAGTACGTAATGGCTCCCTGTTCTACTGCATCAGCAACCGTACCTGCAGTTACGGTGAAGTAAACGAAACCATGAATGTCGTTGCAGTTATCCAGGGGAAGCGATTAGGTCAGGATGAACAATAGTTTTGTAGTTTCATTGTTAATTCTGAACTTTATACAGGTTTGAAAGAAATAAAGATGGCAACATATGATGTTTTACAAAAACCATTAACCCATGCGATGCAAGTATGTCAAAATGCATCTGAAGCTGCAAAAAGTTGTGAGAATGCTGTGACTGCAGCAGAGGCATGCAAGGACAATGCATCTGAAGCAACAAATGCCTGTAACAGAGCATATAAAGTAGCTGAGGTGTGTGAGGGTGAAGTTGCCCAGGCAGTAGACAAATGTGAGACCTGTGTATCGACAAACACTGGTCTTGCTTCAGCGATCCTCTTCCTGTGCGGTTTAATAACAATTCTCCAAATGGTCACAACCGTAATAGTTGTACTTTGTGTGAAATCTTCGCGGAGTGAGACAGCCACACATGTCAGCCACACATGTCAATGTCGTATTCAACCATCAAAAGAAAACAAAACTGAAACTGGACAGGAGCTGCAACAAGGACTATAATCTACATGACTTAGCAACCCAAATATTGTTGAACCAATGTTTCCTATATAGCTCTTCCCCATGAAAGATGATATAATGTTTGTATGTCTACTGGACTATTGATTTAGCCTTAAGTGAGAGTAGATTGAGATATTATATAGAGAGCAAGCAAACAAGGGGTTTGGTCCAATGGTGTCTATCAGAGGTTCCACTGTTAGCTACTAGCAACATGATTTTAGACATAATTATACACATAATAACAAAAGCTCTAGTGTGTAGCTAGTAGTCCAATAAAAATGACAGAGTGTATATAGCTAACTGTTATGTTTCAGCCAATAGTTAAGCTGCTGGCATTCTAAATAGACAAAAGAACCAGGGCAATGATAGCAATGTTCAAGAAACCAGAGGTTTCGGCTCCACTCCTTCCCACAACTGATGAGGTCTCTGCAGAAACAAGACTCTAACCTCACTCTATGGATGCATAGTCAATTTGTGTAAGTTACCTGTCGCTGTCGGTGTATTAACTGATGAAGTTACTGATAGGATAATAATTATGGTATATAGACGCAGGTAAAACGTATGTATGCAGCTATATAATATACTATACCTGCTGATGGAGAAACAGTAGGGGTGGAACAAACTGATGTAAAACACAAGAAGCTGTTACTGAAATGTAAAATAACGATAATTCAGCTTACCACAAGTGTTTGATGGATATTCAGTAATGTTGTACTTAGTTGCAGAGTCTCCTAAGACAGGGTTAGCGAGGCAGAGATTTCCAGCCCCAAACACGCAGTATAGGACAGTTCCATTCGGAATTAGAACAACAAATGCATCATCCTTTTTTGAGGCATTTTTGGGGGCAGCATAATCTTGATGAGTCAGGACTTTTAAATTGACGAATTTTTTAATGCATTGATCGTCACTTACATTGGATTGTATTTCAGCCATTGGATTTTGAAATGGTTGGTCAACAATGAATGTTTCCAAGGTATAATCTTGAACATGCACAGTGGTATTGATACATATATGAAGTTCACCATCATCGCTGCAGCCAGCTGAGGTGTTGACATTGCATTGGAATCCTATTACTTCGTTTTTCTCTACTTCCACCACTGATATCTTGCTGAGATTAAAGATGGTTTCTGTAGATGAAGGCAACAATCTAGAGCAGGTACTTATCATGGTGATTCTCTTTAGCACTGGTCTATAAGTTATAATATACTAAATTCCTTTTGTGGGTGAACATTCCCCATTGCATGTAAACGGCTCAGTGGAGAATAGCACGTACACAAGTCACCGTACACTTACGTACGTACGCTTAGGTCTGTTTACCGTTGCCATAGCACGAGGTGCACTGCTGCGCTCCTGCAAATCCAGCGATGATCAGCAGGTTTACAGCGTAGCGAGGAAAAGTCAGCGAAGCGGGCTTGAAGTACATGACTGGCTTACATTCAGAATAATAATGAGTGAAGTGTAAACCCTCGGCGAACTGCGCATGCGCGCCGAGGGTTAATTACGTCCTTGCTGCGAACTCGCGACGCGCGCGCCACGCAAATTGGCAATTGCGCGATTTTCGGTCGGATATGGCTTCCGGGAATCGCGGAAGGACTGCGCCAGTGCTGGAAACTTCATACACCATTTCAACTACATATGAGAGTCCTCAGGGTTAGTCTCATGGTCCTCATCCAGTAGAGGCAGTAGCTGGATGTTGGTCCTGCCATTGCTCTTGCATCTCTCCAGAGTATCAGACCAGATGTGCATGTGTATCTTTCCCTTCTTCCCTCTGGGGATGTTGATTTCTCCCACTGGGCCGCAGCTCAGACTAGCCTGCATGCTGGGGACTGGGAGACTGGCTGTAGACCTCATCGTACCTGAATCCTGTAGCAGCAATAGGGAAATATACATACTGTAAGTACCTAGCTACTAGGTGATTCACACATTTAAAATGATACATTGCAAAAGCTATTGTGGTTTTACTTGATGCACTCAGAATAACAGGCTACATAGGTATGTATAGTTGAATTCCCTCACTGGATATGTTGTGTTGGTAGTGGCTGCAGTGGTAGTGGGTTGTAGAGACATAGAGGCTTCCAGTTTCTAGGATAGAGAGATAGAGAGTAAAAACTCGAGACGTGAAAGTTAATAGACCGAAGTTCCTCACAGGAGGTTTGTCAGCAGTGTAAGTGGCTGGTACAGACATAGAGGTATTAAGTCCACGAATGTTCTGAGAGAATGAGGAGGAAACAGAGAGATGGGAGTACATCTGAGAGAACATGGACAGATAATTATGACTCACCCTTCTTTCAGCCCTGGGAATTAGGACCCTCTCCTCCTATAATATTCATAAACGCAGAAGACGCAGTGACAAGTGGACACACGCAACAAATGATTGTACTCACAATAGAGATGGCTCCATCTGGTTTCCTTCTCACCTAGGAGAAATATGAAGTTTAAAGAGACTGCTAGAAAATATTCCTCTCTGGACTCACATCTCTAGTTCTGCGGTAGAGTAGAAGGACAGAGACCAGCACAGCCGCCATCACTAGCATCACAAACACTGCCACAGCTATTACTATACCAACCACTGCTCCTAAACACAAGGAAAGGTGGGTATGTGAGAGAATGCAAACAGGAGGTAATGGATGGTTGAGCTCTGTGTACAGAGATGTGCTGTGGAAATTCCTGCAGTGAAGCCAGCAGTGCAACTTCCCAGACACACATCACCCTACCTGTGTGCAAACCATAACTACCAAGTCTCTATCCACACTGGGGGCCTTTGACTTTGTGTGTCCCGAGTTCTAGACTATATTTGTGAATATTGTTGCAACAATATTCACAATGAGGTAAATACCTGTACTCAGCCCCATGTCTCTTTGACCTTGTCCACCTGCACATGAATAATATAGCATGACAAGGATTTCCTCATACAGGTTATGTATTCATACTCCAGTGAGAGATGGTGCAGGTAGTGTATCACTAAGTACTGCAGAACTTAGTTAGCTAATTATCATATGATGCCCAGCATGATAGGCAAGTTATTCTTTTGCTTGTACCTTACTCTAGGAAAGTGTAGGGCCTGACTGTAGATGTACAGCCAGGATTACTAACCTGACAGTAAGATTACAGAGGAAGATTACTAACATGGCAGTAAGATTACAGAGCAAGTTTACTAGCATGACAGTAAGATTACAGAGCAAGATTGCTAACATGACAGTAAGATTACAGAGAAAGATTACTAACATGTAGGGAGAGTTGGGCCCATAAAGGACTCTTTAACCTACCGCCCCGGTTCTCAAGGCTGGGCACCCAGGGTCCTGCCTCTTTCTTTCTGTTTATATGTTATTGTCTGTGTTTTTGTACGCTTGGGTATGTTATTGTCTGTGTTTTGTGTGCTTGGGTGGGGGAGGTTCTTTCTTTTCCTCTGAGCTAGTATGCTATAAACATGTTTTTTCATGACAGTAAGATTACAGAGCAAGGTTACTAACGTGACAGTAAGATTACAAAGGAAGATTACTAGTCTCTCTCAGAGTAAGATTACAGAGGAAGATTACTAACCTGACAGTAAGCAAGATTACTAGCCTTCCAGTAAGATTACAGAGCAACATGACAGTAAGTTTACAGAGTAGGATTACTAGTATCAGAGTAAGATTACTAACGTGACAGTAAGCAAGATTACTAGTCTGAGAGTAGGATTACAAACCTTACTGTAAGATTACAGAGTGGCTCACTGTAGAGCGAGATTACTAGCACTCATGTGCAAGATTACTAGCCTCCTTATTAAGAATCTAGGCCGTAGCCCTATGCGGTACATTAGGCAGCTAGTATACTCAGTAGCCAACAAGGGACTTACCAACAGGGCATGGGAAGGTGTCTGTGGTGTTAGTCACATCCACAGTCACTGGAACAGTCTGGGACCCAAGACTACCGTCTGGCTCCCAGTCTACTGCTGAGATCACCTGATAAGCCACTCTGTGGTGGATATGGGATAACCATTACATCGTAATTTGTATGATGCATGATGTAGTATCATGATGCTCATATACACAAGAGAGGGACTAGACTATATAACTGACCTGGAGTTGGCAGTGGTGTTACACTGACTGACTGCTCTTGAACCACTCTCTCTCTGTAGCCAGAACCGCTCCCTCCTCACTCCTCCCCCCTCCCCCTCCTCCCCCTCCTCCCCCAGTTCCAAGGTCACCACACAGCCCAGGGACACGGACCCAGAGGCAAAGGTACAGTTGATGAAGACAAACGTCTCGAAGAAGACAATTGAAGCTGTCTGGACATCTGTGGTCACTGCAGAGAGAAATGGGGAGTGATATTACCCCCTCCTCCACTTCCTGTTTACTGGACACTTTCAAAGGGTAAACTACATGAAAACATACCATGGAACTCTCGTGCACACACAAACTGCATTCATGTTTTTCTAGCTGGCTTTCCTATGGTACCACAGTCTTCTTAATCCCATTCTTTGTTCCCTCTCATATGATTATAGTCTCAACTCACACAAGTCGAGAGCTCTTGAGGTGCGACAGAGGAGGACATTACAAGCCTCCACCTCAACGAGGAGGCGGAGTCTCGAGGCAGATTTCTCACTACTCCTCTCAGTAGGTCAGTGGTTGAGGAGAGGGCTAGGGCTCTTGCCACTTCTTCCCCTCCTCCCTCCTCCCCTCCCCCATCTCTCCTCCTCACCACCACACTGTGACTGGTGACTGAGAACTCACTACTGCACGAGGTGGCCCTCTGCAATAACAACAACACTCATCAGGACTCAGAAACTCAAAGTTTACATTTTGAAAGACAGACACACAAGCCTACCCATGCATGGCGAAGGCAGAGACATCTTTTTGAATAGAATCCCAAATTGGATTTAAACCTCAAAACATAGTATGCTTTCCGCTCTAGAGTACGCAGTTAGTCAGTAGAGATTGTTGAGTTACACATAGTTACCTGGAAGGAGACAGCAATCTCAGGTAAAGAGGAGCTGACATTGACATAGAGAATGGAGAGAGACGCGTCTGTGGCTGATAGGTCTGGACCTAGTGATAGAGAGAATGACTGAGTAACTGATTGTTTGAGGCATACTGTGGTCTTTAGAAAGGTAGAGAGTACTCACTGATGGGGATGCTCTCATTCACGCTGGAGGGTTGGCTGGCTCCAGCCTCATTGAGAGCAGTGACAGTGAATAGGTGACGGACGCAGTCAAGACCAGCACTCTCTGTCACATTCATGGAGGTGGAGGAGGTGATCTCACTGACTATAGTCACTGGAGACTCCGTCTCGAACCTGTCTACTACCACTGTGTAGTTGATAGAGATGTCAGAGAGAAAGCCGAGGGGACGACCCCAGGTAACGAGGACTTGATTGCCGGAGAATGGAACTACATCTAGATCTACAACTGGGCCTGGAGGACCTGAGTGAGAGGACGACAAGAGAGGTAATAAGGATTGGTCACTAGAGACAGAGAGGGAGGCCTACCGAAGACTCGGAGGAAGAGAGTGTCAGAGGGAGAGCTGGAGAGGTTGGTAGGACTAAAGGCCAGACAGAGAACCTCAAACTCCTGCCCCACCTCTCGCAGAGCCTGGAGATCCACACACACACACAGAGGGAGGGAGACTAGAGGGCTGAAATATCTATCAGGTTTTCGGTTTGGTTCGATACACACAGTTGCTTGGGAGACCCAGTACGGATATACAATCATCAATGACAAACAAGGAATGACTGTTGACACAACGCAGCTTAAAATTACCAACATACAGCACTGAATACATCTAACATTGTGTACACTTTGCTGAATAAGGTGCCACTAGCTGACTTGCAAGGTGTGCCACCTACACATCAATACCTTCAATGGGCATTATTGTGCACACAAACAGAGGTCTTAGCTGCCCACACAGGAACACTGGCATCAAGCATAACATGAGGTTATGCATATTTTGTAACGGTGGATTCAGAATGCACTTTCTCCTCAACTCTTCATCAAAGTGCACGTACGAACCACACCACAAAATATGCTTCCTGAAGATTAGCTAAGTAGCTGATAACCAATGCTATTCCCCACACTGCTCCCGTACGATCGTACTAGTGGCCTAGGTCCAACACCGCCCTCATCGTAACACTCACCTCCTCGGTAAAGACGAGAACGGAGCCATCCTGCCCCGGGTGGTGATGCCGCGGTCCTGGAAGGCAGGCAGAGTGCTCGGAGTGATCTGGAGATTCCCTACCTGCCAGACCAGGTTCAGACCTGCAGCCACACTGCACGAATACGTGACGTTGTCTCTAGTGTTGTTAGGAACATTCTGGTCGACGGCCGGGACTACGGTAGGCCGTCAATAGCTGAGCTGTGAGTGAAAGAGATCGCGGCAGAGATAAGAAAGATCAGCTGATCGATGTCCGCGCGGCGTAGGCGCGCGCTTCAGCCGCGGTACGTAAACTTACAATGTCCAGGCACTGTCTGTGCAGCTAGGAGCAACACCAGTAGCTGTAGACTCTTACAACTAGCCATTTCCACGTAGCTTATCGCTAGAACTAAGACGACGTGACGACACACCCCCTGCATGGTGCCACTCCCCCACTCTGTCGTAATGACCCATAAAATTTTCATATTTAGCTATTGGGCTAAAAACTTCTAAGTGGTGAAGTGTAAATGACGGCCTAGGGTGGAGGGTTGGAGCTAATTGTGTGGCAGTTTCTCAGGGTAGAGGCGGACATAGGCTTTGGCTCCCCTCATCCTCCTCCTCCTCTGGAGCTGGGAGATGAGATTGGTGGCCTGTGGGCACTGCATTGGCTCCACACTGATACTGTCGTCACTCTCGCAATTCATCACCATCACTGCCACTGAGGATTTCTGCCAACAACAAACACAATACCTGCTACACTAATAGTTTATCCAGTTTACTTTACCTCTATGTCAGTGTCTTCCCGACCAGCTACAAAATGTCCTTCTCGCCATCTCCATCTGTTGCACCATCTGTAGCAAGGCGACCCAGCCATTTCAGAGGATCAAAGTTCTGAGGAGAAAGAAATCCAATGATATGTGAAACTATGATAAGTTTCTTGTATAGCTACACGTGCCTTCACTCTGACAATGACTCGTTGGACACTTTCAGGCCACGTTAGCTCTGGATGTGTCTTCTTTTCCTTCCTTGCCAGGAACAATATCACGATAAAGAGAGCAGCAGTGAGGAGTAGGAGGAGAGGACAAGTGTTGATGCTACAGTGATTCCAGCTATTGCACCTGAGGATTTCCACAGCAGTGAGTATGCACTTTGTTAATAATGACAGTCTTACCTGGACTGAGCACTTCTCTGGTCCTCTCAATTTCATCTGCATGTAGGATGGAAGAGTTAAACAATTAACTGAGACTGAAAGATGGGGGACTGACTGGTAGGAAGAGGGCAGGTAAAATTGTCAGGATCTTCATCAACTGTCACAATAGCAGTAATTGCCTGCGGTGCAATGGAGCCATCTCTCTCTATGTCATACACCTGAACCTCTGCATCATAGGCTCCTCTGTATATAATTATAACGGTAGATATTTATCATACATTCTGTAGCTACAGCTGAAAAGATCAGAGTAGGAAATCAGATTGTTGGAATCTTTTGCTGATAAGCTTTGTCCCACGGCATTGTAAATTGCAAAATGGCAAATGCAATGGCGCCTCCCAAGCACTTTATTCTTTTGATATCAGTGTGTTGACCTGGTGTTTGTGAGGAAATCACAGGAGGTATTGAACATCGGACCACCATCACTGGTCTCAGTATAGCCAACTGAGACATTGTCTGTGCGATCTTGGTTGGTGAGTTTGAAGACAAACAGACAGCCAGTGGCTGAGCTCCCGACAGCAAATGAGCAGTTGAGAGAGACAGCAGTGGAGTAGAATACAACACTGGCCTCCTGAGTGTCGGTAGTCACTGTAATAATGGAGGGAGTGTGGGTAATTAGACAGTAATTGGAGGTTCTCCCCCTCTCACCAGCTCACTATAGGGAGTGTGGGAGTGAGACAGGTGAGTTTTGTGCAGGCAGTGATGACAATACTGAGGACCTGGTCCAGCATCAACTGAGGGATGGTGGCTGGAGTGAGAGACACAGACACAAGACTAGACCCAGGAGCTACCACCACCTCTCCCTCTAGTCCCTCCACTCCAACTGTGTGGTTTACCACTGGGAACTGTGCTCCACAGCTAGTGGCTGGCTGTAGGGGAGGCAAACTGCATACAGATCATTCCAGAGACATGGGAGTGGCAGCAAACCGTGAAGGAAACAGTGATGTTGGGGCCAGTGCTAGCTGATAGGGAGAGGCTGGACACTCTCTGGGACTGTGCCACTGGAGTGATGTTGAGAGCTGCACACGCAGTAGGGGGGAGAAAAACAGTGCGGTCCCAACATAATACATTTTCAAAACAGTCGCATTCCGTACATATGGGTATGCTGTGGATGATGGTAGCAGGAGGACCGTAGCCTGCAGTGTTATTGGCAGTCACCGTGAAGGTGTGCGACTGACAGGTTTGGGTGGTGGTCTGATCCACTGACACGTTTGTCTCCATAGTCTCATAGCTCTGAGAGAGAGGAAGTGTTCATAGGATAAGCACATCTGGTGAAAATTTATGCAAAGAGCTATAAAAACAAGCAGGTCCTATATATGTATGTACCTGCTCTACACTGCCAGTATTAGTGTTGGTGATGCTGATGTAGTAAGACACTGGGACTGCTGAAGGTAAGCCAGAAGGCCTGATCCACTGAAGCCGCAGGTCTGACTGGGCACTGTAGACCAACTCCAAATCCTCCACTGCTCTAGGGGTGTCTGGAGACAATAGGATAACAACAACATTCCTGTGTTGCATTCCAGGCACTTGTTTTGTTACATGAGAGGGTGTCTAGTTGGACATGTGTTATGGGTGGGGGCACGCTGCACATGTCCCACTCACCAAACTGGACGATAAAGAGAGTTTCTTTCCCACGGACCAGTCTGAACTTGGCTGGGTTGTCTGCATGGCACTCTACTGAGATCTCCTGGAGACCAACAAACTGCCTGCCTTGCTGGGTGACTGTGAGGTTTGAGAAGCGGTTCTCGGAGGTAGTCGTGATGATGAAGTTGTTCTCAGACGTGGAGGGAATCTGTCGCCCACTGATCTCCCAGAGAGGGGAGTAGCCTTCAACAACAGCTCCAGTCACCTCGCAGGTAAAGGCCACACTGTCCTCGGAGGAGGCTGGGATCACCAGCTCAGTCTCTGCTGACAGACTGGTCGACACATCCATACAACCTGCGGCATTATAGCTAGGGAACTTTGTATCTCGTGGTGATACCTGCAGCTATAGCACTCTCCGGCACTTTCGTGTGATTACTAGGTCTTGCTTTTTTATTTACTCCTCGGAGGTGCGCATTATAGTGAGCTACAGCGGGATGTTACTGTGGAAACTAGACATATTGTATATATGCTAATAGCAAGTTACCGTACCTGTGTGACTTAGGAAGCAGCTGAGAGCCAAACAGAAGGCAACCAGTGACTCTAAGAAACCAGACATCGCTACTCGGGGGAGGAATGCAGGGGAGTGAATTCGCCACGCCAGCCCCACCCTATATAAATCACGCAGGGCGCGCGCGACGAGCCCCACCCATTGCGCGGAGGTTGTAAAAATCTAAGTGCAATTACATGACTGCCACACCAATTTTGTAGGTCTTTCCTTCCTTTAAAGTTTTCTGAAATTTAATGATGAGCTCCAGGCCATTAGAGCGCTTTTCAGCTTCTATGGAGACAGCCTCATCCAGTTGTACCACTTTAGATTCACCATCTTGAGAAATGTGGATTTCTGCCTATTTCCTGATACTGTAGGCCCTGCATAGATATTGAGTGAGTTTCTTGTGTTTCTCAGAGAATTATTATGTAGTAACTAACCGAAATCTGTACTGTCAGTCCCCTGAAAGAAAAAGAAACCAGCATGATAGATGTGTATTTATGAATAGAGTGTGCAAAAGTCACTCTATGTTGGCACTAACTTTTTCGCCTTTTCTGATGAAGTAAATGATGACAGCCGCTACACCAAGTACAACACCAATGATAGCAATAACAACTGGTACTGTGATAGCCGCTGCTAGTTTACCTGTAATGATTGTCAAGTGTAAATGCACAAAAATGAGAAGTTAACCTACCACCACTGAGAGAAGATGGGCTGCCTGACTCTGAAATGTTACTTTTTGTGGCTACATAAAAAAAATCAGTGGTTGACTTTTTGATGCAACAGAATCCTACTTACAATTTTTGAGTTTACAGGAGATTTTGTACCCGCCTTTCACAGCATCGTTAACAGTAGCATTGAATGGTTGGATGAGAGGTTTGCCAGAGATCACAGCATACACTAGAGCCTCCTCTACATATGCCCCTCTGGAGAAAACAAAGTAAATTTCTAGTTTGGGGCCCAGATTGTGTGTGTAATAATGTATATACATAACTAATCTTTACCCTGCCCTATGCAAGTGGCAGCAGGTGGTAAGGCAGTAGGTAGTAAAACCGGAGGTTCTCAGTTGTAATCCTACCCCAACGTTTTTCTCACCTGCTTTTCTTCTTTTTTCAATTGCGTGTGTGTTCTGTATTAGTAAGTTGTCTTGGCCCCAACCAGTTAAGGGACTATAAACTCATCATTAAGTGTTGAAGCTACATGTAACAATGTATACCTGGTTTGAGTGAGTTCAGGACACTGGGTGGTAGGTGAAGTGGCGGTAAAGTTCTCAGTCCCTCCATCAGAGAACCTGGTGAACACCACTAGACAGTGGGCAGAGCTCCCTGCAGCCAGTCTGCACCCCACACTAACACTCTGTTCATACACCACGACTGACGCCCTCACCACGTCACTAGTGTCTAGAATGTGGGTTATAGTAGCAACGTAAACAAACAAGGCACACTAGAAAAACTGTGTGCTACTGGAAAATGTGAAAACCATAATACATGTGACATGTGACTGTTGGCAGAGTTAGAGCACACATAGCAACTGAAGGTAGATTGCACTCCTGATAGCACACACTTACACACGGTAAGTTTACTATCAGAATGTCTGCAGGTGAATTCACTGCAGGCACCGATAGTGACAGAGTAGCTGTAGCCTCTGGTCAAAACAGAGATCTCCAGAGAGCTGAGGTTGACTCGCACACAGATCAGTATACTGACTGGCATTGAGGAATAGAGTAGCAATTCCACTAATGTCCAGAGTGTATTTCAGCACAGGGTATTGGGGATTGCACACCTGCGCCGGCTGTAAACAAGAAAGAATTGTTAGCTACTACACTACACTCAGTACCTATATGTACGTAGTTCTATTATAGAGATAACGATTTTCACTCACTCTGAATGACAAGGAAACATTTACTCTGTTTCCTCCAAAGAGAGTCACTCCCTCAAGAGTCTGGGATTCCTCTATCTCCCTAACACTTGGAGCTGCCAATACAAACATTAGTGGAATTCCAGAGTAATAATTATTGATAATCTCACAGAGAGGAATGTTCTGGGTTATGGTACAGGGTGGTCCAGTGCCTGCCTCGTTGGAGCCCACAACAGTAAAATTGTAGACTTCACAACCACCACTCTCCCTTTGACTCACCAGCACATCAGTTTCATTCGTATAAAATGTCTGAAAAAGAGAGTTGTCACAGTTTTCTCTCACAAGATGTATCTCATATACCTCCTCAATATCTCCAGTGAGAGCATTCACCATAGTGACGGTGTAATTTATTGGGATGTGAGGATGCAAGTCTGTAGGTCTTGACCACTGGAGTCTTAGCTGAGACTGAGAGTAATAGACCAGCTGCAGGGACTCCACTTCACCTGGGCTGCCTAGAAACACACAGACGCAAGTAGCTAGCTACTGGGAATTAAAAGAAAAGAAAGTGTTATGTACCATAACTTATTATCCAGAAAAGTGTCAGAGGTGTCTCCAGGACCAATACGTCCAAATGAATTTGTGTAGGTCATACAGCTAACGGAGAGCCGCTCTTGCTCCTCTCTTCCCTCAGCAGTCATCGCTATAGTCAGATGACTAGCCGTCACCGTCTCCGTCCATACACCAATGGCTGCGAGATCATCTCGCTGGTCCTCCGACCACACCTGGATACCGTTCACGACGAAGATGAGTCGCATCTCTTCCTCCGACTGACACGTGTAGGAGACGTTATTAGGGGAGTTGGCAGCCACAACTGTATCCGTAGCTGGTTCCATAGTTACTGACTCTGCAGTATAGACTGGAGGGAATGCAGATAGTGCAGTGAAGATGGTGGGAAATAGAGCTATCTTTCGTACCCAGGCTTAGAAAAACGAAAACCATCGAAACTGCCATCGCTACTGCCAGTGCTCTCGCCGAAAACTGTCTGCGCGCCGTAGTGGAATGCGCATGCGCAAAGGTTATATAATTTTAATTTTGCGCAGCGAGCGAGCGCGCGGTGGGCTGAGGGGAATTCCCAGGGAATCTCTGCTACTCTGCGCGTTGCGCAGACGGACGGCGGGTGGGGCTCGTGTTCAATCCCAGCCTCTAGTGAGGTTATACGATGGCGGCGCGTGGTCTACTGGTTGTATATACACGAGTGGCCAGTTTTGATAGGGCACGGGGGCGTAGCCCGAGTGGTCTATCAAAACTGAAGCCACGAGTGTGCAATCAGTAGACCACAAGCGAATGCCATCGTATAACGTGTTTGTATGATGACATCCGGCGGTAAGGCTCTGACCAATGAGTGCGCAAAAGCTTTCAAAACGCCCTCTTTTTAACGCACACCATCGAGTGTACGTACGTACGGACGGGGGGACGGGGAGAGAGCTAGCTAGCAATCGATCGGGAGAGAGACAGCTGCAATAAGCGCTTTAGTTTAGTCAAGCTGGGCGGTTGTGCAGAAGCCATGGTCATTTCTCGAGAGATCAACGTTACTGGTATATACGTACTTTTCGCTGCTAGACTCCACACGAGTTTTGTAGCTGCCGCTCTGGCTCGCTTTGTGGATCAACTGTAATATACGGACCAATAGGGCAACGCGTTTTCTAGGGGCCTGTGGGGATCTAGGCTAGGTATAGGCAAGGGCGAGGGGCTAGAGGATAGAGCTAGGGGCCTCGGCTAAGACTTAGCTATGGGCAGAAATACGCTGCCGTGTAGCGCTGCATTCCTGCCCGTCCGGACGAGAACTCCTACGTAGTCGCCGGCTGCCAGGCACACTGCAGACAGCGCTGCCAGCAACAGCAAAAATGTTCATCTTTCTCTCACTTCGCTCGACGTGATCACAGAGACACGGAAACAACCAAACGGAGACACTAGCTCCAGTCCTGCGTTCCGTGGGCTTTGTGCATGTCCCCCTTAGCTCTACCACCTAGCCCTAGCCCCTCGCCCTTGGCTATACCTAGCCTAGATCCCCACAGGCCCCTATATAGAACACGCGTAGAATGCGTTGCGCTACTTGGTCCGTATATTACAGTTGATCCCGCTTTCTCTCCCGCTATACCCAGCATTCTCGAATGCAGCCTGTTGCAGTAGCAAGAATGCTCTAGTATACACGCGGTCTGAAAACTAGCGAAAGCTGCTTTCCGACGCGTAGGCTCCCGTAGACTGGAAAAGTATGTGACTTTCAGTTGTTTCTGTCTATTCTGTCTATTCTAGCCTGAAACACTCCCTTCTGGTAAAGAAACAGCAGCACACAAAGAGTGTAAAAGCCCCTAATTGCATTCCACGCTGCCAATTTCCTACTATCGTCTAGACCCACTGTGGTTTATGCAAATAAGTTGACACAGCTACAGTATGGGGAAATTGTATGGCCTCTTTATGTTCCAACTACCCGTAGACTGAGCAGGAAGCGCTCACTACGCATCTACGTTGTTTGGACCAGCTGGAATTCCTTTGATCTTACTCTCAGTCATCATAATTATATACAATCAATGATACATGGCTCTTTCAAACTTTTACCGACATTACTATTTAGTAGCTACATGTGATGTGTGGTGCTGTAGCAGACATTTTCTGTTGTAGTGAGGAGAGAATTTTTGACTGAGTCCGAGGGTTTCATGACTTCGTAGGCATCGAACTCTGACCCCATGGCAGCTGGGGTGGTGAAGGTGTAGGTGCCAGAAGGTTTACCCGTGCCCACATCCGATGAGGGGGTGGGGTCTGCTGTTGTGTCCAATTTGTGGGTGAGGTAGGGATTGCTGGTCACCAAATCAACATCTTCGTAGATGTGACTTGTCGGTGGCTGGCTCAGTACTAATGTGAGTGAGTTGTTTTAAGATTTGGAGCAAGCTGAAGGATTTCACTACCTCTTGTCTTGCGGCTGCGTATTCTGATGAAGATGATGATGGACACAGTTGTTAGGACTAGAGCAAGAGCAGTTGGTGCAACTATTGCCATCACTATCACCACAACAGCAACACCTGCACATGACATGCTAGTAGTATAAATATGTATGACACACCATAGTAATAACGTGGGACCATAACACATGAGTGTTTGCTGTCAGAAGTGCTGCAAACATCTTATATGTAATTATACACACCTTTGGAATTATTTGGTGGAGCTGCTTTCACTGTTGGAGTTAGCAGATAAAGCAGAGGTTGTCGAAACTGTCAGTAGAAAAGAAAGCAGTTCCAAGGAAAGATAACAGAGTGGTTGTTATCAAACTAGCAAACCTCCTGTGTCACTCCTGATGAGATGAACATTTCCCTCCACCTCTGTACCACCTGTACCTCCATCCTCCTCGATATCAGCAGCTAATAAGTAAGGCTCTACCCCCCACTCAACGGTTCCTTCGTACACCTCCGCGATCACATGTGAACCGTTCCTCCTCTGTAGTTGGACAACAATCTTAACCTTCCCTGACCGACTGAGGTGGAGAGTCAGCTGACAGCCTCTGGCGGTGGAACCCTCAGCAAAGCCACACTTCAGTAGCACAGAACCATCGACAAGTTCTTGAGCACTGGCCCACTGGACATCAGTGGTGTCTGCAACACACATACACACAACATAGATCAGGTTTTGGGAATGTCTGTTGCAACTCACAGACAGTGACAGGCTCAGAGTAACTGGACAAATTGAATTCATTTTCTGCTAGCACAGTCACAGAGTATTTCTCATTCTCTTTCACTCCACACTCTGCGGCAGTAACAGTGACGGAGAGTCCACTGCTGTCATCAACTGAACATCTCACTGGGACTGAGTTCTCACTCTCCAGTACCAGAGTAAGACAGACTGGAGAACAGATCTGTGGGATCTGTGAGAGAATGGTTAAAAATTTTTTTTTCGATAGCGAAATGCTTATATACCTGTAGCTGAAGTTGGATTGTGAGACTATCTGTAAACAAGACTGCAGCTTCTGCGATTGTCATTCTTCCTGGAACTACACAACGTGATTTTTGGTTTCACACTCAAAAATAGTAAGGTATATTATACTATATATAATAGAGTAATGGAGTATGATTTGTAGCAGAATTATTGTAGCTACTCATCCTCACCAGAGGGATGTAAGGCAGGAGTAGAGGAGGAGGAGTTGAGAGAGAGACCGACATCATTGAGAGAGAAGGCAGAGAAGGAGTAGAGGTGGCAGTCTAGTGCCTGTCTCTCTGAGATCTGGTGGGTGAAGTTGGTGTCATTCAGAGGTCCCAGTGAGGAGGTGAATCCCGTGGCCTCGTCAGTGACCAGAAGAGAGTAGGAGATGAGTTCTCCTGGTAGAGAGAAGGGAGGAGTCCAGGTCACTCTCAGCTGGTGGACCCTCTCTCCCACCACCTCCACTTCTCCTGGAGCCAGAGGGAGACCTGGAGGAGGTCACTATAGAACATTTTCAGGTGTTCTATGATCTGTGGAAAGCCTACCAAACACAGTGAGGGAGACGTTGGGACTGAAGTCCTGTGGATAACCAAATCCACCGAAGGCAGCACAACCAAAGACAGTCCCATTGTTTTGAACTGAGGCAGAGACAAGGAGAGTGGCTGCAGTAATGGTAGAGTTGCTCCAAAATTCTCCTCTGAAGAATCCATTGACAGGAAGAGCTGCTTGCTCCCACAGCTCCTCAGCATCCAGTGAGATGGGGAGGTCATCAATGGTCCACCTTAGCTCTGCATTCTCCACCACACACTTGAAGGTTGCGTTGCTACCAAGAGGAGCTGTCACTGCATCTGGACCCTTCACAACTCTATGATCTAGCACAAGACATCTAGCTAATACTTATGCAAAATCAGACGTATTTTGTTGCATGTAGTCTGCAATAAAACACTGCAAAAGACTCACTTTGGCACCTGATAAGCGGTGAAGCGGTCAGAGCTAGCAGGCAAACGATTGCGATCCTCATGCTTTCCGCCGTGCATAATGCGACGTGCGTGCGGAGTCCCGTCTTTTTACACGCACGCGCAATTGTCAAGTGCGCATGCGTTGACGATTTTCGTCCGTCTTCATCTCGAAGTAACTACTGCAGCTGGTTGCAGCTTTAGTCACCTGACATACAATGTTATGCTGTAGTATTGTATATACAATTAAGTACTGAAAAAAACGCAATTTGTTTTCTACGGCAATAAAATCAGAGCTGCAGTTCCCTAGAGTGGGTTTGGTCTAAGAATCCTCCTCATCGGACTCCTGGTAGTAAGGTTCATCATCGTCCACATCCTCCTCGTCCTCCTTCCAATACAGGAGCATCTCGTCCCCTCTGTTCAGCTTTGACCTCCACATGTGGACCACCTTTGCCAGCATGGCAGGCTTCAAATGTAGCCTCAGAGTGTTGGGCTCTTCAGGGTCTGGCATCTGTGGACGTTTGAGGAGAAGACAGGGCTAAAAGACCAGGACATCGAGCGAGATAGAGGGGGAAACACTGAGGTTGGAGATAAGGATAAAAGTTGCAGTCAGATATTCCGTATGGAGCAAAATTTGGTTTGAAGCGGCTGGTTAAAATTAATGAGGTGAAGAAATAAAAATTGCTGAGGCCTAGATTCTATGAATAAATACTGAGGTAAAAAAGAAAAAAGTGACAAAGCTGGGATTCGAACTCGGGATACGAACTCAGGATTCAAAGTTGGAGCAAATTTGGAGTGAAACTGGGCTAACACTGAAGTTATGATAGGTGGGGAAGACTAAAGCAGCAAAGGTTTGAGCGACATAGGGGGCAAGGGTTGGAGCGAGATAAAGGTAATATGGCAGACCTTGAGGGCAGCCACTGGTTCCTTCCCGGAGAGAGGTGGCTCAGGCTGCAGGGAATAAGGTCACATGACAGGATCACCTGACGTCATGTGATCCTGGACTCACCTCCGCCCCATCACTAGTCTTCAGGGGTTGCATCTGTGGGCCAGTGAGAGAGGAGAAAGGAGGATAACGTGTGGTATAACATGCTGGCAACAGAATAACCTCAGCTTCTGCAGCCTTGGGGGACATCACTGCCATCTGTACAGAATAATATTAGCCATGTGATTGTATGTACACACAAGATAGTCAAATGAGGAAATCCCTGCATATTAGAACTCACATCAGGCTGTTGACTCTCCTCTCTTGTCAACTACAGAACAATGAATGACATGTTGCATTTACACATACACTATACATACATACAGTACCAGGTTTCCCCTCCCCGAAAGAAAGCTTAAACTAGTCATGTGGTGAGGTAAAAACTCACTTTCTTCTTTTTAGCAGCAGTGACTGCAGTCATTGTGGTGGTGGTAGAACCCTACAGGGTGGAATGGCTGACTAAAGAAAGGGGTGTGGTCTCGTACCTTCCCAGGGACGAGGTTGTTCATTAGCATCATGATGGTTGGTTTATCAGTGGGTGTGGCCACTGGCCTCTCTTCTATCATCAGATCTATTCCCTCCTCTTCCGTCAGGGGGTGGACCCAGTTCTTGTAGGCCGAGGATATCTGAGGGTGTGACTGATGATGTCATGGGTCATGTGACTAGTCATGTGACCTACAGTCTGTCTCTTCCACAAGACAATGCCACCGATAGTCAGGACCAGGAGAATGAACAGCACTAGAACTACTATGATGATGGCTGCTATCTCAGCTGCAGAGGGGATGGGGGGAATGACTATTGGGGTAATTGCATGTTCACGTTGAGGCATTGTGTGTATTCTGTGGATCACTAAGGCAGGAATGCTACATGCATACTCTGCAGTGACTACTAGGAGTGGGTGTGGTGTGGAGCTCACCATTGGAGAGTGTTGATTTCTCCACAACGTCCGTCATTACCTCTGGAAGAGGAAAACCTCATTATGCACATGTGTATAAATTGTAAAAGAGGTTAAAAACAGAACCAATGTACATACCAGCTGGGTGTAGTAATTAGGAGTAGAGGGGCACACAAGGCAGTAAATATATACCAGGAGGAGGTGGTTCACAGGGAGCAATCTCCTGTAGATCCTGAATCTCATTGACCACTGGTTCTAGTCTCAGACCTTCAGCTACTCCGCCACTGTTGATGGTCTGAACCACCACTGATGTATAGGCCTCCCTAGTAGAGGGTGGGAGCAGAGGAGGTTGGAAGTACACATGTGATAGTCTCAATGTTAGAGTCCACAAGCTGTTAGAGCATGCAGAAGAGAGGATAAGAATAGGGACAGGAGGGAGATGATAACTGGAGGCATATACAAGGAGATAAGGGAATTGCTGGAGTATATCTCTTCATAGAGTGCTCTCCAGTGTAGAGAGAAAGGAAAGGAAATGGAGAAAAGGGAAACGGTGGAGGTAAGAAGAAGAAGAGGGGAATGAACCTGTTATTCTGAGTGGTGGAACACATCTGGACCAGTCCCCCTCCCTCAGGTCGAGGAATGTCGAGACTCTCGCTGTCTCCAGAGGCCAGGGTCAGAGTGACCTGCGGCACTGGCTGTGCCCCAGTGGCTGTGAACTCACATTCAAGAGAAACTGTCAGTGTTCAGGAACAGCATACTGGCCGCTGGCTTCATTGGTCACATGGGGGAGGGTGGACTGAGAGATAAGACATTAGTGGAAGCTGAAAAGAGAGGTACTGTATAGTGAGGAGATAGGCGCAGGAAAATGTTTGTTTAGCAGGCGGGAAACACAGAACAGACAGTTTACTTCCCTAAAATCTCATCACTGCCATAAGCAACTGTCACAACAGTTGGGTGGAGAGGACGACATGAGAGATGGGAGACTCAACAGAGTGTCCAGAGGGTCCCGCAGCTTGAGCGCACTCCAAACTGGCACAGGCACTGATGATGATGGAGTAGTGTGGCAAAATGGGTGAAATCAGCAGCCGAGAGGTTGAGGCCACACCCTGTACCCATGGGTGGAGCTGAGGTCCATGGAGAAAGGAGCCCAGAATGGTGAAATGGGCATGTAAGTTTTAGTATCGGGTAGGTCCCCTCAATCACACACGTGTGCAGCGGGGCATACACGGAGAGAAGGACGGAAGTCCACAGGCACATTATAACAGGAAAGGCCCACATCACCTCAAAAGACCAACTCTATCAGAAAATGTTCATCAATCTTCTCCAAAAATGGGTAGTGGGCACGTGGCGTTTATTTTCTCAACATTAGGACTGCTACACAAAGGAACAAATGGAATGTGGGTGTGTAGTGGGTTGTGGTTCGTGACTCACTAAGAGGTAGGGCCACTCGCTCAATGGTAGGGGAGCTGACGGCTCTCCTACCGAGTCCTTCCACTCAGAAACGGGGGGCGCCTGACAACATTACTGAGTCTGTGTCATTGAAGGGGATTGACCTCGGTGATATAGTCCTTTCTGCCCTGAGGGAATAGAGAAGGGAGGGGATGGGGCTTTCCCACACACACAGAGAGAGGGTAGTTGAGAGAGGACTAACGTTGATTCATTCTCCAGTGACGTTGTTGGTGAACGTGACCCATTGACCTTACATCAGGACAAGTTTGACCCCTGGCCTTGCTGGTTTAACTCCACACCACATCGTAACCCCGTGTTGGTTGCTGTGGGTACCACTCTCAGGGTACTCTGTGAGGTGGGGAGGCGTGGGAGGGAGAAAGAAGGCAGTGTGTAAGAAGTATGGGTAACACAGAATTGGCAGATACCAAATTCCTCATTGAGTCATGCCAGATAAGAGAACTGGCAACATTCCAGGATCCCACAGGTCCCTTCATCCCCAGGTGGTGTATGTTAGGGTAGCATCAGATGGGAGAATGGCCTTATTACGAATAATCATGAGTCCTTGTGACCTGCGCTCAACTGTCCTGTGACATAGTGTACAGAAATTAACCTCATGTTAACAGACTTTGCCACTATTGTACAGCCTGCCGTTACTGGGTGGCAAGAAGTAGGGTTTGCAGATGATCCCCTGCAAACCATCGACCTCAATGAGAGCTCTCCATTGGAAGGTTCTAACTGTACGTATCTTCTGTTACCCACCCCCAATTAAAATGTTTGGTTCTCTACAACTACCACTGGCGATTACCTCTCATCTGTTTACGGACGGGGCTCAGCTACATCCTCCCCCCAAACACCTCTCCACTCTCGTTCAGTGGGTGTAACTCACTGAACACCACGAGGGTCCTGGTGTCAAAGCCTAATGTCTGGAACAGTACTACCTGTACCAGACAGGCCACCTCTAAATCTCTGAACCATCAGCCATGGCCTCCAGAAGGGTGGAGTGAAGACATGGTAACTGTAACCCTTCTCACCCGGTACTGGTTGTGGTTTGAACCCTGTAACTCATTCACCATCAACCACAGTCCCATGGTCCCAGCTATCGGTCGTTGAACCAACTCTCCACAGAATATGTCCTGCTCACTGGTGCAGTGTACTCTGGCCTCCTCTGTAGTGACATTGACTGTCACACACAATTTTCCCTCCGCCTCCGAGATACCCTGCAGTCACACAACCACACTCACTGCAAGGAGGTGCGTTACACTCCCGCTCTCCACAGGCGCCATTAGCCGCAACTAGCACGCGCCACTCACTTGCTGAAGGTCCTGAGCTGAAATGCAGGTTAGACAAGCAAAGAGAAGCGACTAGCGTGACAAGACTTTTCTTTTTACATAACAAAAAACACCCAGCCTCCCAGAATGATTCCCTCACTAGTAGTACACATGCAGCACAATCGAACCTGCAACACAGGCTTGGTCTTCTCTGTTGAAGAATCAAATTCCTCTACGTGTGGTCCTCCGAAACGTAGAAAATGCTGCCAAAAACTTTATCCGTAATATTTTCCGCCTGCGCCCGCGCCCCCCCCAGAACAAGTGACAGGGGAGCGATCTCGGTGTGGTTTTCCTAGCTAATGAGTGGTGGTTGATGAAGATGGCAGCTGGTGTAGGAATCTGTCTCTCCAGCCTGCCCTTACCACCCACCTTGCTACCACTACTGCTGCAGCTCTACCACCTCTTCTCATCTCTGCCAAATGCCTGGTATGTAAGTCCAGCTCTAGTTTGAAGATCTGGGCTTGTGAACCTCTGTATAGGCCACTACCTACTCAGTGTTTACTCTCTGTCACGCATATACTCAGCAATTGACGTTTTTTTGCAGCATGATGTCTTTCTGAATGTCTTTCGGCGCTAAGTCCCGGCGTCGCCGTACGAGCACCCTCCCCCCTTTGAACAATGCCTTGTTTTTTTTCTCACTGGCTCGTCAGCACAGGACCCCTACTAGTGAAGGCTACTTACTGAGCCAATTTCCAAAACCCTCTGAGGGTGTGATGTGTATTACGGTGACCAAAATATGATATGGCCATTTTGGAATCAATTTAGTATGTACATTTATGCGCAATGTATCCTTTCCCCACCCACCCCACCCATCACCTTACTCTGTGTGCCTCCCTTCTCTTTCCACTGAAGGTTCAACTAAACATTTTCTTTTCCCCCACCCTCGCCCTCTCTTCCAACTCCTGAACTGCAGTGTTTCTAGTTTTCTATCTTCTGTCTGTTCTTTTTCTTCTTGTGGTGTTTTTCTCCTTATTCTTACCCTGACAGGGTACGCCTCCTCTTTGGTCTAATGTTCTCTGGATTGTGTTACTTGGACCTCCGTAGCTGGTGTGATAATCAATACTCCAACTGTTTGACGAGTCAGCCATTGTAGCCCCTCCAACAGAATGTTCATATCTGGAGTGGAGGCCCCGAGGCTGTTCCTGAGAACGAGACACCATCCCCATTCCTTTCGCACACTCATGTCAAGTGAGTCAGTTTGAGGCGCCATCTCTGTTCAGGCTGGACCAACTCCATTGACCTGCAGGATGAGAGACCAGCACCTTCACTGTCGACGTGTCGTAGCTGCGCCGTTGTGTGTTACTTACTACTGTGGTGTCTGGAGTTTGCGGTCGATTGATGTCTTGTACTGTATGGGCAGAGCTAGTGATGGTGGTGATTTTGTGTAGTTTCTCCCTCCCACACGGTTGTAATGAAGACATCAAGGATGCTACTCAGCACTCTACCGATGTGGTGTGTTGGTACATTTCACTACAGTTGAGCCTCTCATAGTGGCCTCTACTAGTGTTTCATCTACTCCATCTCCAGCTTGAAGCTTCTTTAGTCTCCTGTTATCGTCGACATTCATATGTGCAGTGTACCTGGACATGCAGAGCAGTTTACACTACCTGACAGTGGCGCAACCTAGGCCTAAGCACCTCACCTGTGACATGCGATTCGCGCGAAAGCTGCACACTGTGGACCAGCTAGTCCTGAGTTTGATTCCTGGCATCACCTTTATCCTTTTCCACAGCGCCTCTTTCTGCCTTATTGATTAGCACATGATTTGTTTCCATGTTAGTCGCGTATGATGTTTCTTGCTAAGAAGTGGTTCTTACAGTTGAGGCTACAATTCACAACTCCTTTCTGAGTGCTGGGGTGGGATGTTACAGGGGCTGATTGTCGGAATTTTTGTAAACGCACTACTGTAAGCGTTTTACCCGCTGGACACCCTCCCATCAGGATGCTTGGGTATGATGACATTATGATAGGTGGCTGTGGTGCACATGCCTCTGTAGTATCACAGGTGTTAACAAGAGTCTCTAGACTGTGTCACAAACTGTGCCTACTCACACCCCTCCACCTGCTAACCCCATGCTCCATACAAGATAGTGTACATGACAACAACCATGCTGGGTATACACATCCCTGATCTACAACAAACCTAGTACACTACCATGTGTCACCATTCCTCTGTATGAGGACACATCCTCTCTGGTTTGCCCAGGCAACTTTCGCACACTGCCTGCTATTTCCACACATTTACATCACCAGCACTATATACTGAAATGTCTGCAGCTCTTTGTATGCAATTTTTTCAACAGACTCAAAACAAAGGGAGCTATATACATGTAAGTGTTTGTCATCATCATCTCTGTTTGCGGTGGTATGTCCCTGCCAATTGGATCTGCTTGTGTGCACATAGCTTCGTACTCTGTGGTCATGCGATTACGGACGGTACTTTGCTTAGACTGAACCAATTAAACAAATTTTCTCTCTTCTTATGTAGCAGGACTAGCATATCACCATTTTCAAGTGTTCTTATCCGCCACACATGTTTGTCTATTACATCATACATTGTTATAATACCCTGGCCTGATGAACAACACACACTACCCATGGATGTCAGTTTTCCCCGCAAACAACCATTACAACTATTGTTCACCTCCACCCCTGTCCTAGTATATCGCTCATCAGAATAGTGTAGTTTCATGTTTACAATGTAGATGGTGAGACAAAGTCCTGTTGTTTGTTTTGAGTTCCGTCTGCATAACCACAGATTAACAGTAACATTGCATGGTCGCCTGATAACTATGTACTGGGTCCTTGAAAGGGAGGCCCTCCCCTTCCCCCTTCTACCACCCCTTTCAAAGCAAGCGGGGGGTGGGGGGGCATAACACACACACTTAACTGTGCTGCAAACAACAGGCACTTGGGACAATTGCTAGAATTGTGAAGTCAAGGGCGAGTGGAGGAACACAACTCGGCACATTGCCTGGCACACATTACTAACGAGCACAAGTTACACGACAGTAATCACTTTGCGGCTGCAAAGTTGGTTTCTTCGGACAAACAATGGACGGTTGGGCATGGTGACGCAAGACAAGTTTGTTGCACCTTGACTTTGTGTGTTACACATGCCTATTAGGACTTTCATGTTTACAGCAGAAAACTAGCAGAGGATGCATAGCATGTTATTATAACTAATGGCAGGTCTGACAACTGAGATGATGACACAGAGCAAAACAAGCCGCAAATGAAGAGTATATGTACATTTGCGCTATACCCGAGAGACTCTAAAATAATGAGCACCTCCTGTCACGTTCATGTAGTAACATACTGTTATTACTCTACTAAAGGACACATGGAACTAGGGAACAAAAGGCTTGTCCCAACATTGTTTTCTTGTCTCCCCACTCCAGGTCTCCCTCTGGCTCCAGGAGAAGTGGAGGTGGTGGGAGAGAGGGTCCACCAGCTGAGAGTGACCTGGACTCCTCCCTTCTCTCTACCAGGAGAGCTCATCTCCTACTCTCTTCTGGTCACTGACGAGGCCACGGATTCACCTCCTCACTGGGACCTCTGAACGACACCAACTTCACCCACCAGATCTCAGAGAGACAGGCATTAGACTGCCACCGCTACTCCTTCTCTGCCTTCTCTCTCAATGATGTCGGTCTCTCTCTCAACTCCTCCTCCTCTACTCCTGCCTTACATCCCTCTGGTAAGCTATACCTCATACACCGTACTGTAGCTGGGAACTTTTGAGGGACAAAATTAAGATCTTTGAGAGTTTTTTTGGGCTGCGATACTGGTATATGGGGTGGACAGAAGTGCTGGCAAAGCTCTTACATGTATATACCCCATTCAGTAGCAGTTTCACTTTGTTATATCTTTTTCCCTATGTGTCTCTCTCTGACAGCTCCAGGTCCGCTAGGGGCAGTAACAACTGAAGTCTCTCACAACAGCCAACAGCTCTCTGACTCCAGAGCTGTTCTCAGACTTTCCTTCCAGGTTCGTTCCTCATGTGCATTGGTCTCTGTTGTTGTGATACCATTTGTGAAATGTTGAGGAGTGGAAATGTATGCCTGCAAATGTGTGCCTTCTCCCTTCTCTTCTCCTCCCTTGTTCAGAGGCCCGAGTCCTGTTTCCCTCTCAACTACACCCTGACCCTCTCTGAGGAGGGAGGACCAGAGGAGGTGATAGCAGTCCAGGTGACTGGGTCAGAGTCAGCGATGGTGGCTGAGGTGACTGGTCTGAAGGAGAACTCTCACTACTCAGCTACGCTGTCTGCCAGCAACCATTTCCAGTTCTCCATGGATGATCCCGTGACAACAGAGGTCTCATTTGGTGGGTGGGGTCACTGGTGGGTGTGGTCTGGGGTTATCTGCCTCTCTCTACAGTCACCTCAGGTCTCCAGAGTGTGGCAGTGTTCCACTATGTCAATGGGACAGCCAGGATCACATGTGTCTTTGCCACCGGCTCTCTCTCCTCTGGCTGCCTGGTGTCTCTGGTTCTGGACAGCTCCACTACCACTAACATCAGCATCGACAGGTGTCTCTATCCTCTCACCTCTCTGTGGTGTAATGTGTATGTCTGTGTGTCTCAGGGAAGAGGGAGCAGTGGAGGTGGTTCGTTATTCCTCAATTGGAGGGGTTCCCCAGTCAGTGACAGGCAGGGATCTGGGAGTTGACAATCCACTAGAGGTCCGTGGTGAGGTCTCTGATGAAGGAGATCCAACCCCCACCACTGATGAGACTGACGTCACCAGTCATGGTGAGGATCGGGTTAATGCAAGATGCTGGCTTGCTGGGTACCATGCACCCCCCCCTCTCCATTAATATTTTCCCTCTTTCTTCCCCCTCCCGCACACACACACACACACACACTCGTACACATACCACATGCACACACAAAAGCATCTCACACACTGTACCCAGACACACCAGTCACCAGCTCACCACCAAGTGCCACACCCACCTCAGACCCGACTACTGAACCTTCTTCCTCGACCTCTGACCTCACTGGTGAGCCGACTACTAGTGTGTGGTCATCAGTCACCAGATGATGGTCCTCCAGGTCTGCTGCAGTGGGTCATACCAGCCGGAGTGGGCGTGGCAGTTCTGGCTCTCTGTGTCATGTTTGTTGGATTCTGTGTCTGCTGCAGACAGTCCTCCAGTTAGTTCCTCTCTTTCTAACATTCTCTCCACAATAATATTATTCTGCTCTCACATTATGTATTGTTTGATTCTCCCCACAGAGCACCGAATGAGGAGACACAGTACTCTACCACGAAGACTCCCTGTCCCCCACTCCCCTGCCTCCCCAGCATATTCCCATGACTACAAGCAAGTACCTCCCCCTCACGTCTCGGGAACCATCAAAGAAATGAGCTTCACACCCCACTCTATGGTGAGCTGGGGCTCCAACCTTTGACCCCCCCTCTCCCCTCAGATCCCCCACGGAGCGGCAATGGAGACTCCATCACTCTTCCCTCACACGTCCGTCCTCCTCTCTACGAGGAGGTCGCTGCCTCTCGCAGGGCCGCCAAACTTGCTGCCAACCCCAAGTACGGAGCTGTGGGCGGAGCAAACGGAGCCACACCCAACCCACAGTATGGGGCCCCGCCCAGCCAGCAGGTGACGAGACAGAGTAACGAGGAGCACATGTATGCATCTCTCAAGGACCCGAGGCAGCTGTTGCCCACACAGACACAGAGTCTCCAGTATGCCCAGCCTTACGAACATGTGGCGTCGTCTCATGCCCCACCCCCTTCAGAGGGTGTGGCTGCACCTTATGCCCTGCCCTCTCCAGGAGGTGTGGCTATCCCTCCAGGGGGTGTGGTCATCCTGACTGACGACAATGTTTCGTACAACGCATCACCACCTCTCTCTTCAGTTGACTCTCCTCACAAATCACCTTAGAACTGTCTTCTGTGAACATTTTTATTGTATCGTAGGCTTTTCAAAATTATTGGGTGTAAAACCACTTTCTTTATAATTATTGTTATAAGTAAAATTACGATCTCAAGAAGTACGCTATACTCAACTAATCCAGGTTTAATTCTCACCATTTTTTCGTCATGCAGGAAGTATAACTTCCATTTGTTGTGGAAAATGTATGGCCCTTTGGGCGTGTGCATCACATGGTCTATTGTTACATGGAGCATGAAAGACTCCTGGTGGAATGCCAGAGACACAGATAGAGATGGTGACACCATTTGCTGCTTACACGTATATATAATTATACCTGCACATTGGTGTTTGAGCATGACACGTACATCGTCATGTGCGCCCGTTTCTGTGTGTGTATGTGTGTACCGGCTAATTCAATATTATTCTCTATGAAAAATTAGCAAGCAAAGCAAGCCTGCATGCATTAGGGAATTTCACACACCACTATAATAATACTAGGCTACTAATGTTAAACTGAAGGTTCAGAGTGAGTTTCAACTTCCTACATGTCAGCAAACACATTCACCTGCCTCCTTGCCTAGAGGTGAATTGGCCGTATGCCTGGTTGTCAGAGACAGAGAAGGCGGTCTCCCCTGGACCAGCTGCCACTGGCTCCTCGTACATCTCCTCCGCCAACTCCCTCTCCTTCTCCTCCTCACCACCTGACGGGCTGTAGCCTCCCTTCTTCCTCATCAGACACCACATTCCACAGCAGCCGATGACCACACCCACTGGCAGGACCACCAGTAGAGAGAGGACCACTGCAATACCTGCAGCTAGTCCCACGGAGAGACCACTAGTTTCGCAGCTACATACATCTGTGATGGCGGAGACACCACTAGTCCCATAGATGACTGAGGAGGAGTTCAGTAGATAAAGAACACACTCACTTTCTCTCAGTTCACTCACCAGGGACGCCATTGAGGCTGACTATGAAGCAGATTGTCTCCCCAGGTCCCAGTGATATGCCTCCAGCACTGACATGGAAGGAAGCTGAGTCTCCAGAAGAGATGACCATTTCAGTGGCATTCTGCTGTCCCTCACACTGTCCTCCAGCCACTGCTCTAGTTGATCCAAATGTCACTAGAACTGGAGAAAGGCTCTCTGGACAGTAAGCACTCCGTCTCACAACTACATTGAATGTTTTGGTATCAAATCTCAAAACCTGCTCCTCCACAACCAGTACCCGTGCTGCAAGGCAAGAGAGTGCTGTCCAGTCAGAGACACTGTTGGCACTTACTGTCAATGGTTTGATGATCCACAGTCGAACCAATGTCATTGGTTTGGGTGTAAGTAATGTTAAAGGAGTTTCTTGCAAGGTTGCCAGTGCAGCTGTTGTCCGAGGTGACACAGAAAGTAAGGTCACCAGGAGACAGTCTCACATGGACCCCCATTCCCCCAGGATACTGCACTCCCTCCCCTCTTGCTCCAAACTAACATACATGTTACACAATAGTAGGCTAGCAGTTGATCAGGAAGTTGCAAAATGTATTTTCTCTGCCAGTAACTTACGATCCACTGTAGTGTCACTGGTATAAGATCCTCTGTAAAAACATCACAACTGAACTCCGCAGACATTTCAGAAATGTGGGGTGGGGCTAAATCAATTACAAACAATAGCGCAATGAAGCGTGCAAAACAATATTATTGTGGCAATAAACCGCAGTTTCAAGTTAGACTCGTGGTGGTTTGATTGATGCGGATTTGGTACCAAACGTATGTATGTAAACCAGTTTTCTGCGCATGACTAAGCAAAAGTGTAAAAAAAGGATATTGGTATTACACACACACGAATAGTCTATTATTATATGTAAGCGTATAGTACAGCATGTTCATCGAATGAGGGGTATATGTGAAGTGCACACATCTCATCATGCAGTTCAGTTAAGGGACATTGTTTTCTTCAGTCAGAGTTTTATGTCAGCATAATAGGAGCCCTGGGAGGGAGGGGCTGGCTTGGTGCTGCGTTGAATATCAATGTCAGCATAGGTTAACTGAGGAAAATATAGAGAGAAGAGAAAGGAATCAAACTGATACGTTTATACTGCAGGATTAGAGCTAAACTAAACGGGAGGTGTCGTAGACTGAAACTCAACCTCTGTGAATTGATACGTGTCCCGTGCACGAATGGTTCAATATACTTATGTACACGTAAAAGTGAGTGCACAGATGTTCAATACTACTATGTACATATGTAGGTGAATGTAATGGCAGAGTTTTGGCAAGCGGGAATGTTTGAAGACATCTGTGAATATCACAGTGCATGATAAAATGAGGAGGATAGCGTATAACCCCCAGTACTACATGAAGTATGCACATCAAAACCTGCTATATATATGTACATGTGACTATAGCCCGCAAAAAGAAGTAAAGTATACGTAGTGGGGGGAAAGTCTAGCGCCATTGGGGGGTTAAGAATATTCTTCATACCAAGCGTGGCTCAAATTACTCACAGGAGCCTTACTCTTACCAAACAAGGATCTCAGCATGACTAGCTGCTGTTACACATGACACATGACTAGTGGCTGGAAGTTGTTACAATGGCAAGCAGGCAAAGAAAACCACCAACTGATGAAACAATTAGTGACACATGGTGTGTGTAGTTCACATTCCCAATCACAATGGTGGGCCAAAGTATGCAAACAATGACCTGGAACTTAGCTTCGTGCCTTTTGTTCAGGGGAGGAGTAATGGCAGACTTTCTCCTCCTTTCAGCTCTCTGCTGTTTGCCTCCTCCTCTTACCTTCCCTTCCTTCTTATCCTTCCTATTTTCCCTTGATGTCAGGTGGATGGGATACCTGGTCTACGGTGGTCCTCTGAGTTCAATTGCGTTGGGGTACGGGGAGTGAAAAAGATGTCAGTGAAAAGTGAAAGTACATCTTAAGATACTCAAGGTTAATGGCCGGAAAAACTAACAATGTCTACGAAATACACCAACGGATTAAACTTTTAATGCAATGGAAAGGCCACGTGTTATTTATGTTCAAAGCGTCATATGCCTCTGTTTCGAGGCTCCGTTGGAAATGGAAAAAATAGGAACCAGACAGGTTTTTGTTGTACTGTCGTAGTTGTTGGGATCGACTTCAGTGTACAAGACCTCTCCAGTTCACGAGCGGACCCGCGGCGTCCGGCCATGGCCGACAGGGTTTATGAGGCGATGAGTGTGGAATGTAAGGTACATTAATGAATTTGCAGTCTACTCAAAGTTCACAAGTGACATGATTGTGTGTGGATCTCCAGTATGTGTTTACCATTGCTGCTCACCGGAAATGATTCATTAGTGATCGTGATTAGAAAAAAAAGACATTCTAATGTAATTGTAGTGGAATGACTGATCCGC